GATTGAGTGTAATAGTTGATGTGTTAGTTGGTAGCGACATGTCATCAAACCGTGTGCTCTTTAGGTACATCCGTCATGTCATTAATCCACTAGGAGTGGATTGGATGGTGGATTTGAGATTTTATCACCCTGTATTTGTTGGTAAGAGCTATATAAGGAAGAGCAGAACCATTGTTGGTATATCTTATCTTAAGAGTTTATGTTTTCATCTTCAAGAGAACTTTTCTCCAAACCTTTATCTTACACATTTATATTGAAAACATCAAAACAATGACTTTAAAACGTCATACTGCTGCAAGTGCCCAATGACGGCAAAAAACATGTTGTGCAAATCTATATGGCAATCGTCTTTGATCCATTTCACGACAGAATAGTTGAATTTGAATGAACATTCACTTGCAAAGGCCGTCATCAAACGTCCAAGCGATATTGATGATCAAACACGCAAAATGTGAAAATTTAATTGATTCAATTTTATTCGGAAAATGATAAGATTTTGTAATGCGTGTGAAAAGATGCATCATAAAAAATTCAAAGCAAAACTTAACAAAGATGAATATTCATCTACTAAAACATGAAACGATACAAAAATGATGATATAAAATTTCCTCACATCCAATAAAGTAAAAAGTTACAGAAGAAGGTTCCCAAATTGATCACTAATAAAATATTGTTCAATTATGAATGTCTTCATGTGTAATTGTTATTATCGGGATAAAAATGATAAATTAGGAAGAAAAGTAACGAGATGAGGTGAAGTTTTGAAATCCGCAAACATTGAACTTGGATTGATGAGAACAAAAATTTGGTATTTTCAACAAATCAGATGTGAACAAAAAACATTCTTGTGCAGACGATGAAGAGAAGAGGAAAATTGGATGGATATCAATATTTTATAAAAAAATTTGTGTAAAGAAAGAAAACCCTAACAGGCACAGAGAGTATGAAAAGAATCATGCAAGATGAAAGAATAAAGATGGATTGAGCAAAGATGATCAATCGAAAGAAGGAGAGAAAGAAGAAGCTTGACATCAAACAATTGGGACGTGTTTCGATATCACACACATTGCAATCATTATCATGATCCACCATGCACTTCAAAAGCAAAATCCTCCGATTTCAAACTGTTGTTGGCATTGAACGATTGAAACGTGTAACAATTAATCCTTGAACAGTTGAAACGTTGACACATCGCAATTGCATTCTTGATACACTACATACTTCATAAACTTTACGCAGTGAGTGCTAACTTTTAGAGATGTACATTGTAAAGTTGAATTTGCAGCCAAAGAATCCTTGTAATATAAGGTTTAATTGTGACATTGGTCCAATTTTAATTGTGGCAAAGATGGCATTTATTAATAAACTGCCATTTTTAACGAGGGTGTTCATATTTTTCATAATTTAATTTGAAATCTCATTCGTTCACTTGGTCAAATATCATTATCACTTCATTTTATTTATTTAGGATATTATTTAAAATTAATTGAAATGTTGTTTCTAAAAAGTTGAAAATGACATCTATTTTAAATTTACCCACCTGACCAATTTAATCTCTTGTATCGGTCCAATGAAATCGGGTGAAGTCTGTCCAGTGAGTCTAACATCATTCCTCCTATCACAATATACGCTAAGAAAATTCTTGCAGTAATCAGTTTTGTGATCCTACTTGAAGATGTAATGATCTTTCTTGCACTCTTATTTCCCTTTAATGCCTTTACATACGCAACCCACATATGCATATATTTCATATGATGATAGTCATGTAGAACACTGTAATTATTGATTTCCGTACCCTCTCTATGCCTGTCGCTGTCGCCAGCGCTAGAAAAACCTAACGGGTACTTTATCTTTGATCCCCAAAGACAAACGATAGCAGACAAGGTCTCCATCTCAAAACGCATATTCAACTTGTGGGACATGTGTACCTTTGTTCCTTTCCTACTACTGTATATCAGATTTGATGCGGGAGACAATTGATGTTATAAGTGAAATCAATGCCCGATTGGATCACTTTGGATGGAAATCAAAGATCAATCTCTCATCTCCTGCAAAGCTGCTTGAAAGTCGGGACAGGTGAACGAAAGCAGCCGGATATTTTGGCAGGGCTGTTTACTGATATTTACTATATCCGTCATTCTGATTTGCGTCATTTTTACATTTCGATTGCGACCATTATGCATGGATGGTGGACAAATGTGCCAACTCAGCATGACATGTAGTGGGTTGCAGGTCAAGTAAAATGCTAAGCACAACTAGGCAAACCACAAGTTACAGGCGCGTCTGATCATGATCCGGTGACTCAGGCGGGGGAAATGGCGGGATGGGATATGGCATTCCATAGCATGTGCAGGAGGACATGGAGTAGATGATGAAGCGTGATGCATCATGGGTGGGTAGCAAATCGACTGCCAGGATTCATGGAACAGATGGGAAAAAGGAATAAACACGTATTTCTATGTGAAATAATGACGTCCGCAGGATATGATAGTTAGACAAGCCTAAATATATGATTGGCAGTAAAGGCCTACAAGATTTTGTGAGTCGCTGATAATTTAGATTCCTCTTCTCGTAAGTTGTTTTATTGTCTATGTAGATGATCAGGCGGGCATATTTTGACACTTCATATCCAAAGTGACATTTTGTCGAGTTTAAAATCTTAAACAGTGCATCATTACGACCCGAAAGACTGCAACCCTCCACCAGGTCTCTGATGAATAATATATATTATTAAAATCGTTTTAGTAGATTATAGTTTTTCATACAATGTGAACAACCCGACATTGTGTATCCTGTATACAGTAGTTATAAGAGCTTTACAACCTCTACATGTCATGGACGTGTGTGTACATATTCCGACATTTTTCTCACGAGTTTCGTCTTCCGTATTTGTGTACATACATCGCTGTCAAATCGATAGGTATGTAAACTATGATGATGGAATGCAAAAGTTATTTTTTAAATGCAAAAGTAACCTTGATAATAGTGCACTGATAACGCAAGATGTTATTTTGAATAAAATCGGATTAAAATTATACAATGAGGACAAATTTCATGTTGATTACGGATTCGTACTTATGATTGATCTGAACGTGTCTAACTCTTATTCTACATATTTATATAATTTAGAATCAACATAGATGTAATTATATATTCTACATGTAGCCATTGTTCTGATGTTTACAAGTGATGAAAAACAACAGAATTGCATATTTTCTTTTAAGCCATAGTTATATTCTTAGATATTTTTCGAAGATAGTATGAAAAATATGAAATTTATCAAGATGTTACTATATCTATGATTATAATAATAATGATTAATTTTATCTGATCGTTTACATTGTTAATCCATTTTAGTCTTTATTATATTAAACAAATTAAGTACTTTGTTTACTGATATTGAGGAGATTTTTTTGGTGAGTTAGAAGCATTAATTAAAACTAAATCTCTAGTTCGGATAAAGTAAATGTAATGTAAGAAGAAGTCTTATATTTTTATACTTAAATTTTATTCAAAAACTCTTTAATTTACTATCAACCTATGTAAATTTATCGCCAATCTGAAGAGTTGCACATTTCAGTTCAGCTTTCTCTCGTGTTTGCAGCTGGCTGCTTGCAGATAAACAAATATATATTTGTATATGAGACTTTAAGAGATGAGATCAACCTCATAATTTTCTAAATTCATAAGTTTTTCCACATCCAGGAACTCAGACTTTGGATAGAATGTACTTCATAGAAAAGCAATGAAATTTGAGAATTCAAGATTGAAGAAGTGAAATGAATCAAGTATTTTGCTTCCGATTGACTTTGAATCTAATGTGCTTAATTCCAGCAACACGTCCTTGAGTTGATAACGTTTGATTCAGAAGTACGCGTTATATAAAGTAACATGAATATAAATCTCAACGTTACAATGTATAATGTAAAAAACAGAGGATGTTGACGATTCGAATTACTTTTGAAGAAAGCTATAAAATAACCTATGAACCTATTTGAAATCTAATTTTTTTCTTGAATACTCTATTGATAAGATATTATGATCATAGACACCGAACAACATTCCTAAAGTACACTAGTGACTACATGGCGAATAAACTATATGCTGTTGGTCATAGCAGAGTATACGGGGTTCCAAGTACGAACATAAGTTCTTGGCTTGTGTTTGCATGTAAATAATAAAAAAGAATAATGCGCTGTTCCGCCGTAATTTGAATTTATACTGCAGGTTTTCAAAAAAAAAAAAAAAAAACTATGTTTTGAGGAGTTGGTAACAGAAATATACAATCTGGGTTAACATTGTGTAGCGCAAATTAAGACTCTACCCAATGCCGTTATAAGAATTGCTATAGTACATGTGTGCGCAATTCTATTCTTCGTGGCGGTTTTCATATTTTTTTAGTCACGTGTGAATGTAGGATGGAGAGAAGATAATGGGTGGGAGCAGTACCCAACCTTGTTAGTACATCCTCAATGTCATCATTTTGAGTCAAATAAGGATTTTTTCATTGCATAGATGTTAGAGTCTAGGTGCAAGGTGCACACCTTGCACACGATTCTATAATCCATTATTACACGTAAAATTAGTTCCTTGTTGGTCTAGGAGAACAGACAGGTGGCACATATACCTCTGCAAGGGATAACATTTCTCCAATTTGTATCGAAGAGAAGTCCAAAGACTGCTATCACACAGACCCTGGAAATTATTAGTCACAGAGCATCAGGTAGATTTGCAGACAAAAGGCCCATTAATTGAAGTCCTTGGTTGGTGAAACTGGTGTCTGAAATCAACAGCACAAAATAGTTAGCAAAGTTAGATATCGTTTTGGTTAGGCAGGGATTTCAAATATTTTTAACGACAACAACTCTGCACCAGTTTCCCATCCAAGTTTCAATCACACTGACAGCATTTACTCACCACATACAGTAGTCTACATTGATGCATTACTGTCATGATAACCACCCCTTGGGAAGTTGGGTTGAGCATTGGGTAAGGGTGTACCGAAACCCGTCCATATAGTGCCGCACAGTAGTACTATTTGAGCATTTGTCAACACACTTGAAGGTCGGATGACATTATTTAGGTCAGATTAGGAGCTGCAGCTGTAGGCAAATGGAGAGACCGTCTTGAGACCAACATACTTACACTTATGAAAGCAGTTACAGAAAGAGAGATAGTTTGTGAAAGGTCTCACGATAAATTGCCTTCCTGAGCTATAGCGGTCACCCCATAGTTTTTGTACATGTGTCATCTACTGGCTGAGAACCATCGAACCAAACCATGATAAATATGATAATGTACATTTGGGTGCTCATCGATCCTCAGAATTGACGGGATGAGTAAAAGTAATAGAAGTTGCCTGTTTACTTTGTGGCCGGGAGAGGAGAGGAGATGGCCAGAGACAGAGGAGGTCAAGCAGTTGATCTTGCCCTCGGCCATCCTTACGTACTTGAGACAGGTGACGTGCATCTTTGCATGCTTGTGCTCTTCTGATGAGAAGCTCGGTCATCGAGGCAAGCAGAGGAAGAGGGTTTGCATTGCGCAGAATCACGACCCACCACAACCCCCACCACATCCTCCGCAACCACCCCCACATCCTCCGCCTACAGCAGCTATAGTGGGTCCAGGATGTGCTAGAGATACGGCGTAGCCTCCTCCGGCCGCAGCTAGAGTGGGTCCAGTGTGGGCTGCGGAGACTGCATAACCTCCAGCTTCCGCTCTATCATGTGAGATTTTAATTGTGGCTTGGTGGGCTTCTTCGCTCGGTAGTGACTTCCCCTCAGCGAAGTACAATTCGCTTGTATTCGAGCACAACCACCACTCCTGTAGCTGTTGTCGAGTGTTGCCTGAGCCATGTTTGAAGAAGCGAGGAGAAATGAGTGCAATGGTTGTACTTGTGAGGAATGTAGGCGCGAGAGGCATCTTGGTGGAAATTCGAGACGACCTTATAGCGACACATACCTCAATGCCAAATGGAAAATACGGCGGCAAAGGCTTTAAATGTGAGTTTGACAATGTTCGAGATTTAAGTCATGAAGACGCTGAACAGGAGTTCCACTGACCCAGGGTTTGTATTCACTCACCCCAATGTGAGGTCCGAACGCCGGCATACGCGAACTTATCCAGTCTCTTTTCGCTATACTTGCTCGATTGTCTAAGCGAGTCGAACATGGACACCTTGATAGCACATGCAAGAAGCAATACCAGCACTACGTTTTCCTCTGGTGAAATCTGGGCACAAGAATAAAAAATCAGTCAGTCAGCCAGTCAGCCAGTGCCATTACTTCAGTGTTCTATGACTCCCAAGTCCCTACTTTGGACAATCTAGAGGAACATGAGTTGACTCTCTGTAGCAAAGTTTCGTACTACAACAGGTACGATGCCTAAAGGTGTAGTGCAATGAACTCATTTGATTGTTCTGCTACTGTGATTCCGGTCACCGTCGCCACGAATCCTGCCAATTGTATACAATCTATGAGCACCAACAATATGCTCGAACTATTACCTCAAATACACCGTACTTCCAGTTGAAAAGGGCAGTAGCAATGCCCAGTGGATTCTCGGCTCTGTACCGTATGAGGGTAACGAAGTTCTTCTCGTCCTCTTCCTTCCCGCTTTTGACTTCATACTGCAATTTCCTCCCTCGGAGCAAAGACACCTGCAACCCGTTTATTTGCTTTTAGCAATGTGGGGAATGATGATGACCACGAGGTCACTGACTCAAGTGCAACTAGAGACAATTGAAGCTTTGACTACTATAAGTGTAATCCTCTGAATCTCACTGGGTGACAACACCAAATTAATCTGATCTATACGACCGTCTCTACACAACGCTTCCAAGTTGAAACTCAACAGCTAACACGTTGGGGTGATGAGAAATGACGTGACTTACAGTGTCGTTGCTGTTCCCATCCGATAAACCATATGTGCATATTATTTCTTCGGGCAGATTTATTGTCAGCTGTACTTGCCCATTGAAGAGTGACCAGCACCAACCTCCAGCCACTGACTGCATTTGCTCTGCACAAGCAGCAACAGGTCCGGCTGCACACACACATGCTTTACTCACCTCCTGAACCATACAGCTGTTTGTCAACTCAGACTTGTTTGTGTTCATCGGTACGATTTGGTTTTGTTCGCTGTATTCAGAATTTTCTCACAGAACTTGTTCCATTCAATTTTGGGGCAGTGATGATATTTGTTGCTGAGTGGAGCCTCTTTCCATGATTAAATCAATGACCTAATAGAGTCCGATGAAGAAATCCTCGGTAACTTTGTAAGTTGTTAACTTTGAATTCGTTAGATCGACACCAGTGCCAGCACTCACCAGGAACACTTGTTGTGTAACGAGGACCTCTGTGTGTAGTCCATCCACCTTTATGTATATACACCGATCTCGAAATGGTGTCTTCCGCACATAGAGGCGAAAGCTCTTGGCCAGCTTCAAGTTTATCCCTGCAATGAGATACTCCATGAGAGTACGCAACGAAGTCGACATCAAGACTAACAGCTGAAGTGAAGCTTGCCAAGAAATGGTCGAGCACCTCTACCTGGGACTACTGCATTGCCTACAACACTCAGATTTAAAATGGTTATGACTTCACGTACTTGATTCGAATAACATAAACCACGCTTCCAGTATGGTCGTAAACAGATCTTGCTAGCCACTTCCCTTGCTGATATCTCTGGCGATAAATCTTTGAGTCCGTAACTGCATTACCCAGGTTGTCGGTGGGCTCCGGCATGGTGCGGAGGAGATGGTTTCCGACCATTGTCGGAGTGCTGGACACAGCCAAGCGGACAGCAGGGGCTCTTGGATTTGGTGACTTCATAATTGGATAGTAGCGATCAGTAGAAAATGTGGGGGACTGCAGTACTTCCGACCAGTTCAAGATGAACGAGTGCTTGAAGTATTTGCGCTCACGAGAACAAAAAACGTTCCGTTCCCTGGTAAGATCGACATAAACATTGAGAGCCTCGGTGGATGCAAGTTCTGAGTGGAATTGCCAGGTTACCTCTTCAAACCTGGAGGCACCTTTTCGCAAAGGAGGGGAACAGCTATATCGGTCAAACGCTCGAAATGTGAAAGAAGAACTGCTGTTTTTGTGCAAGCTCAAAAACAGCCTTAAATCACGGTAGTTTCTTTTCATGTTCTTAACGCCGATCACTGCAACTCGGACCTGCATAGCGAACAGAAAGACTGATAATTCTTAGAATTGTACGCAAATGCAATGAGACGAGATGAGCGCTGGAAGCTAGTGAAGGTCTATGTCCCAAGGCATAGTAGGTTAAGAACTAGTGAAGAATCACGAATGGATCTTGCTACTCCTTTAGCATTGGATGCTGTTACATCCAAATAATCAGTTTCTGACAGCAATGACAGTACCTCTGATATAATTCTTCTCTTGAGATGGTCCTGCATACCGACATGCTTCAAAAATTCCACTTCTTTCTTTTCGTACAACAATCCACTGCCACAGAATTTTTTGGCCAATACTGGGGGTGGCTCTTCTTTGGGGAGCATACCCCGATAAAGGACTCCTGCTTTAGCGTACTCAACTCCATACGTTGTTTCCCACAATTCACTTGTCTTTCTGAAGCCTGTGTCCAGCTTCTTCCCATGGCTTCGATCTGTGTCAGAATCGTCATGGTTGAACACTAATCCCATAAGTCTTGAAGTATCAGCTGCGTAGGATGTCGGGCAGCGCATATGCGCATGCCACATCAAATCAATGTCATATGTTGGAACTAGAAACACTTTGTCAGCTTCTGCCTTCTTCGAATTGTTAATTGCAAGATTGAGAAAGCCTTTGTATCTCATTTCGGCGGCGAACAAAAAACGAGTCTCTGACATGTACGGTCGAGACACCTGCAACATACACACGTAGATTGATAAAAAGAAAGGACATTTCGAGTTATCTTTGCACATATTATAAGCCAAAAGGTCGCGCAAACTCGGTGGCTACAGGCAGCACTAAGTGCTGCAAGATACCAGGCAAAACTTTCAAATAACGACATCTAGTAAGTTTGCAACTTACTTGGTAGTAAAAACTTCGTTGCCTCCCCGCTGCCTTCACAAAATCATAATTGAGCACTCTGGGCATTCTAAAAACTGACTTCGTCTTCTGTTGCAATTTTGACTTTACAAATTGTGACGGAGAGCCCTCACAGTTCTGTTCTTGAGTATCAAATGACATCATGTCGAGACAATAGGGCTCACTAGGATAATTAGTGTGCCAGAGCTCCTGAGTCTCCCTTGTAGCATCGTCTCTGTTATCATGGGTTACCATCGGACATTCGATGATTTTACCGAAGAGTTCCGAGCAGTCATTTGCATACTGAACCTGTAAAGGAGAGCAAAAATCGTCCCTTATCTTTGATCATGGCGGAATCGCGAGGATCACTTCAATGGTAGATCTTTGCTGCTATCAACATGGTATCTACACAGAAGGTTTATAATGCAGAACGTAACTTGCAGATTTTCGATACTTACCGGTGAGAGTTGGTGCAAGTGCCAAATCCACGCACAGTCAAGTGGAGGCACAAGAGGATACCCAGATGATGTTCGCTCCGGTGTATTCCTTGCAACCAGGGGAAGCCAATAATTTTCGTACCTGTTTAATGGCGGCATAGACGAGTGAAGGCATACAGTCAGAACATGCATCCATTGCGGCAATTGTGAAGTATGACACAAGTCCCTTGCTATTCATCTTCCGCCTATGTGACAAAGTCTAAAGCTCGCACGATTCTGCCGTTACCGTCCACAAACTGGATGGCTCTATGCGCATTATGGTACATAGTCTACCGAATCACCTGAGTTCATACAGAGGAATCTGCTCTCGTAAATAATTGTGAGAGTGCAGCTGATAAACTGACGACGAATTACTTCTGGCAGTACAAAGTACTCAAATTCCAAAACTTTGGTGATTGAGTCGTTGCATTTTTGGTTTACTCAAAATGTGACTCAATGTCATCTGTAAAAGTATGACTTCCGTTCTTGCTTCTCGCTCGTGTGTAGGAAAACTTTACCTTTCAGTAGCTCGAGTAATTGCTTCGATGTCAGAGTACAAGCAGGGACTTCTATCCACAGTAGCTAGAAATGACAACTGAATCTTTGCTGCAGAAATCAGGTCCGCAGATATTTTGATTCGCTGTGCATCATTCCAGTCGCGTTCCGGATCGGGCTCCGCCCTTAACCGGCTAGCCTTCGTCATGATGCTGATTTGGGCACCTTGAATCAGTGACCGCTGGCTCGTTGCAGAGAAGCCGTCAGTCAATTGTTCTCGTGATTTTCCCAAGCATGTGCCATGTTTTCAGCTTGTAAATGGCTGTACCTGTCACACTGCCCATAATCAAACAGATGTGCCAACAGCACTTGGATTGCGTTTGCTAGTAATCTTGGGCAAGGGCAATGGGCCTTCGCATGTTACTATGCACATATAGCAATCGCCTATCTTCTATGTCGACATAGCAAGCAATTGATTTAGCCTGGCGTGAAAGACCATAAACTCATCGGCAGCAAAGTCCCCTGAAATGCACAAAGAGGAAGGAACGATCAAACGGACGAACAGATGTCTGAGGAGACGCAGAAAACAAAGCGCTCATATGGTACAAAGATCGAGTTGCTGTCATCCAGAAAATTGTATCTTTTTACGACCATATTCATTGTACACAATGCCATCAGGAAGCATGGGAACCTGAATCTGATACTATTATAGATCGATAGTAACGCTCATTGTCACCGAAGTGTGACATCATTCTTTTCATTGTATATGCTCCATAGTGCAATTCAACCTGACTTGAGGACAGCGAGTTTGTGTCATTTATAAAAATTCTGCTGCATGATGAGCATTGTACATAAAATCTACGTAAATATGAAGTCATTATGTCATAGAGAAACAAACTCCAACCTGTGTCTGCCAGTTGCAAATGGCCCCAAAATACATCGATGACAAACTGCGCCCGTTCCAATCGTATCATCGAATTTTGCCAAAGGGGATCAGGTAATGCACTACCGGCTGCGCAAGGCGCTACATGGATCCGAAGGTCCAAGGTCCTGCGAGTGTCGTCGGGATTCCTGGTGAAAAAAATCTCCGAAGGCTGCTCTGAGGGGATTATGTAGAGAGGCATAGCTCGCGTGCGAAGGAGAGTGAGGAATCGTGCAGCGGCTCGATTTTTATTTTCTATTTAGAAATTTGACCGCAAAACTCGCAATAGTGGGACACCACTCGCCCCGCATCTCTTGCGCATAAACTTTCACATCTCACGTCATAGCTGATTGTGGAATGACGGACTGACTCAATGGTTTCCTAAAATCTTGCGCATCTTCGGGTCTTAAGATGGTCACTTCCTCTTCCGCGGAAAAGCTCAGTGAACAGGACACTACACTAATAATTAACCCTGTAAAATTTCGTGTGTATCATGCAAATTGTGGAGAGAGAGGCTGCCTCTGATACCATAGAACTAGCCGTCGATACCGTTCTATCCAGGTTGACTTTGGCTCCAGCTGCTGCTGCTGCTGCTGCTGTTGCGCCATGTGACGTTAAATCCAGGTGTCATGGTGGCGTCCGGACCCACATTTGGTCCACGGTCCGTCGAATGCTCTGAAGTATGGTAAAGTTCCACATCAGTAAATTATCCTAGAAGGAATACAATCTCCTGCTGGCTTGGTTTGCACTGTTCTCTGAGTTATCTCACATGGCCTGAATGCTGTGCTCCGGTCGAAATATAGCTCGTTATAACCCTGACTATCATCATCACGATTGATTACTCCATGGGATAGACCAGATGAATCTGCCCTTCTTGATTCCTTCCTTGGAGTGTTTCCCCGTTAAACCTTCCTTCCGGTACATCTGAACCGAGAGACTCGGGTCGAGTAAATGCTTCAAGGATTAGAACTCGTCCTTTTTCCACCATGCCCCGCGATATGGCCCTTAAACATCAAAGAATTAAAAAAAAAGGGGATCAATAATAGATGAGGCCACTGCCCAATATCACAATGAATTCGGTCAACGGATCGCAACAGTGGCCCGAACGAATCAAATGGTGACATGGCTAATTATACCCGCAAGGAGAAGGTGAATATACGTAATCATTGCAGGCGAGACAGAGCAAATGGGAAGATTTGTCGAGTCGACGAATCCCCAGCAGTGTCCACGACACACCACAACGCAAAGACGAAATGAGCAGAACATGGTGGAAGGAGGTCGCCCCACAAGCCCAGCAAGCGAGAGAAGAAAGAGCGAGAGAGTCTAAACATGGCTGGGGAACAAAACCACGTCTATATCGGACTGCGAAAGCTGCATGCCGCGGGTGGGGGAATCCAAGATTCAGCGCATCTTCCGGCGAGATCGTGAGCGCAGCGCTGCGTCGATCGGATCTGCCTTCAGACAGGCAGGCAACGCCTCGCGAAGCAAATCGAGATCGACGACACATGCAATGAGTTCCATGCACCCGCGCTCCCGACGCGCTCCGCTGCACGCAAGGCTGCTGGCTGGAGCACGCATCCGACAACCTCACGATCACCGGATCGAACGACCAGCGGAAGCCGCCAAGAAGATGCCTTCGTAGGCAACCTGGACAGTGGAACATAGGAGGACAAACGGCAGGAGGCGTCGAGGGACCACCCACTGAGCCACACAAGGTTTACAATATGCCAACACAACCCAGACCCGTCGGCAGGGAAGCCAAGGGCCAGATCCCTCTGGCCTACATCGACTCTCGTTTCTGGTGCACGCTCTTCTTCGGAACTTCACGAGCTTCGAAAAGGATCATCTGTCTTTCATGTTTCCATCCGGATAACCTTCATATGTCCTCTGACTAGGGGATTGAACACTTTGTGCAGGTACTTCCAAACCACCTCCAGCGCAGTGATCTAAAATCCTACCCGATTTCTTTCCTGTTGGATTCCAAGACAGCGGGAACACAATTAAGTTCTCTTTTTCTGTACGCCTAGTACTTGGACAACTTGGCCCAAAAGGCAGACATATGTTTACTACAGTTTGTGGTTGATCTAAAAATTTCTCTATGTGTGTTTATTTCTAAACAAAATCTTACGCTCGAATAAAGTACTGGTAATAGTTAATAGTTCATGGTTACGCTGTGAACACATTTTCGGCTAATTCATAGGGCTAATCAAGTGAATGGAATAAATCGTCACCAGCAGAATTTTGAGATTGCAGCCCATGAGATTTAGACATAAATTTACTATGAACATGCTGTTAATATACCAAAGCATATGAAATAACCTATATTGAATTCAAGCTTTCCGCACATGTTTGAAAATGCTATGAGGAGAGTTACTCTACTGCATTTGAATGACGAAATGAGAAAGTGAACAGGCTTCACCTAAGGAAAACTTGCCTATCCACACTTGAATGTTCTCGACTTCACAAAATGAGCCAACCTCTACTTGAATGGGCATGGCGCCACACCGGAGTCGACTTTGCTTTAATGAGTGGGGAAGATGTATAAGAGTGTTGAGCTCGGCCAAATGAAGGGGTAACTTTACTTCAACTTGGTCCAACAAGGATACAATACTTGAATTATATTCAAATGGACCTTACCTAAATTAAATGTTATATCTTGGTAATTTTCAACTGATTGTATAGGGATTCAATAAGCGAGAGAATAGTCAGGCACCAAACAAAGGGTTTTTGCAAGGAGAGATGATGAGATCTTCTTGATTGAGTTTCCACAAAGAGAGTTTGCAAACAAAGGGCTTTGGCAAGGAGAGATTATGAAGTCTACTTGATTGACTTCCCACAAAGAGAGTTTTTTTTATCATGATTACATACATCTTGAAAGCATTTGTGTACATTAACTTCTTCTATTCATGAAAGCAGAATCTGATTTCTTTCTATACTCCTCTACCTCTATCAGAAATCTGTTAAAAAAACTTTCAAATTAGCTTATCTAAGCACATAAAAATGAAGTTGTACTTTATTGAATGTTATGATTTAACTCATGTCTTTCAATACGTCAGCTATGTAAGAGAGTTTGCAAAAGCTTTCAGTGACACAATCTATTAAAGTATTTATGTTTCTGTGGCAGTAGCTGCAATGATGTGCCACGTATGTTACATATGTGCATGTGTTTTTTTGTGTTGAGTTTTTTTATGCTCTTTGATTTTCTTTGTGACATATGATATCAAAGCGTCGGACTCACCGTTAACCATGTTTTGGTTTTCCTCTAAGCCGCTACCGCTAACCATGTGAAACGCAACATCCATTACTTTCAGCATAAATTGCTTCACGAAATATGAACCAATTATTTTTTTATTAAGAAATAACTCAAGGAAATTGCAATCAATGACAGACTTCGGTGCTTGCTAGTTTAAAGCGAGTTCCAAGTTTGTGAAGATTTGCAAGCAAATAGCCGAATGTTACTTTTTTTCAAATGAATTGTCCATCTAACTTCAATTTTGTTACATTCATTTCTTCAATGATCTAAGGTGAGTTTGTGCATCAAACCTTTACATCTCTTACACAGAAACATTAGAGAGATCGTGTATTGTATCTGAACCTTCGTCTTGTTGGATTTTGGAATAATGGTATGGTAACTAGATTAAGCCCGTAGTATCCAAAGACTACATAACACATCCCAAGTCAAACATGCAGGAAAAGATCCTAAAGATCTATCATGGGCTAGTGTCTAGAGAACTAGAATGATGATTAATGACGTCATTAATGTAACAACCTAAATCAAAAGTCACTAGCTGTAATAAAGAATAGAATTATTCCACATCTACATTATGAGCTAGTCTAATCTCTTTGTGCCTAAAACATGTAAACAACACATGCTCTTCATCACACAATATGTTTACTCTTATGAGTATTCACTCTCATGCCTTAGTCAATTTCAATACTATGAGCTACTCATCTATACTCTGTAATAATATAACGTAAAATTGTGGAGATTAATACAAGTAAATATTTTTGTTCACAAGCATATGATTATCATTTTGTCATGTAAAATTGCATTTTGATGTTTGATCCGCTCCAAATGGTGTTGAAAAATTGCTTTGTAGATGTTCAAACAAATCCATAGATTGCAAAGTTCAAATTGCCTTCCGCCACATTTAGTTTGAATCCAAATCAACACATTCCACAACCATCCTATGGAACTTATGGCTCGCAAAGCTTGAGGAGTAAGTCAAAAAGTATCAAGATATATCAACCTTCTGATGAAAATGATAGTCAGCTTCTAAAGTAAAACAACTTATTTTTGCAAGAAAATAGCATATGGAGTTATGTTCTTACACTCAAATTATTTTGTAGTTAGATATTTTGCATCCTCTTCACATGCTCCCAACTTGTCTTTTTACAATCAAGACTTCAAATCTGGGTTCTATTTTAGATCACTTGCAATATTAAATTTTTAATTAAGAATTTTCTTAGATTTCAAGACACAAAATAAGATCTCCTACACCAATTTAACAATGAACATATAGCTTTGTAACCAGCTTTTGCTTTCTTATGCACTTAAAATGTCCAACTATAGTCATTAGAGAAATTGATGTCTAAATATTTATAACTCTTGACTTGTTTTAGTTGTTGATCTTTGTACAAAAATAAGAACTTGGATTTAGTGCTCATTATAATAACTTTAGATTTCTTCATACTTATCTCCATATAGCTATAAATCTTTTCCAAAATGTCTAGATGGTGTCTAAACCAATATCATCACGTGCTAGTAACATAATATCATCAACATAGAGTGGAGTTTTGATGACAAAGTTTCCAAGCTTGACACCTTCACTATCCCATTCTTCCAAGTGCTTTTTGACATCATTGTAACACTAGGGTTTAGAGAGAAGCTCACTCGAAGATAAAAACTTAAACTCCGAAGATGAAAGATACCAACAATGATTCTCAACTCCCTTATATAGCTCTCACCAACAAGTACAAGGTGATAAGATCTAATCCCCACCATCCATCTCACGCCTAGTGGATGGATGACGTGGCGGATAACCCTAACAAGCACACGGATCGCTGACGTGGCGCACCCAACTAACACACTAACTAACACACTCAATCCTTACCTACAAGCACACGGATTGCTGACGTGGCACTGTCAACTAACACATCCACTCTGTATCTACCAAGTGCGCGGATCGCTGACGTGGCAGCTATGACTAGTGCACACTAAAGTATCTACATCAATATTTAGAGTAACCTCTACTTCAGTTCTAACTAAAGTAGAGGTTACAATCATATATGAAAACTACGAAAAAATAGACAACATTGAATAATTCCGATGAAACTTCAAATCTTCTGAGTTTTAGAACCGTTGATCTTGATCCAAACAAAATGGACATATATGGTCAATGTTACTAAAAAAACTTGGTGGAACTTCACTTGCTTGCAACCTTTTCCATGAAAGCTTGTGGATTATAGTGCCAAAAGTTTTCTTAAAATTAATGAAGCGTCAAAACAAATCTTTTTCATTGCCCTTAGATTTCTCAAATACAATGTTCACGTTAAATCATTCTTCTAAAAAAGTCAAACAATATACAAGTTAAAGTGTTCAGATTCACATTACAAATATTTTATTATCTATTTTTATTTTGTATTTTAATGTGTATTTATATTTTTAATTTAACTATTATTATTAAGTATTAAAAGTATTGATATCAAGAAGAATGATTTCTTCAATAATGCATTATAATGCTAGATTTGTGTACTATACAACTCATGAAAAAATTTTAGTGATGTATGGATCCTTGATCATGCTAGTTTTTATCACGTTTATTACATTGAAGAAAATTTATATATTTTCAATATCAAAAACTTAAATTTTATGAGACATTATCAATTTTATATAATAAAAAGTAATGGATCTAAAAAAAAAAAATGTTTGATGGAGTTGAATGTTAGTACATTGATTTCAATAAAAAATTTATATCATATGTCAAATTTTAATTAGTAGTTGGATTTGTTGTGATAGTTAATCTGATTATGGATCAAAAGTATGTGGTTACATTACTTTTTTATGGATCTTAGAAAAAAATTCTATATAAGACACAAAAATTGTTTACAAATTTTGATTTATACATAGTTCAAATCATTATATGATTTGAAACAAGCTTATAATTAACTGAAATGTTTGAAAATTTCAAAAAATCACAAAAAAATTAAGAAAATTTGTATGATTTATGTATATACACAAAGAATATAATATTACAAACTTTGATCTCATTATTCTAATACTCTATTTGGATAACAGGTTATTTTGACCAAAAAAAAATTTGATATCACTACTTGCAAGATTCAATTGAAATCTACAATATGAAGGATTTGAATAAGTACATAAGGATATTTAGAATAAGTATTTACAGGATTATGAAGATGAAAATTCAATACATATATCAATGCAATTGTATTTGACAAATCTAACATTGCACATGTAAAATGATATAGACACACATTTTAAACTTACTTCATCTTACTGTTAAATATATATTATTCAAAAGTAAAAGATACCAATATATTAAAATCAAATCTCTAATCAATCTCATGTATCTGAATATATGCACCGAATCACATGTTGCTTTAGCTTTGAGCAAAATAAATAATTTTATATTAAATTCATGAAAGATGCATTGAAAAAATTTACTCATGCTTGAGATTGTGATTATTTTTTTAAATGATTTATTGTAAATTGTCAAATCTTTACTAGATTACGTTGATGCTTATTATTAACAAGACATGAAAATAAAATCTACAACTTGGTATATCTTTACATTTGATGAAGTATGCATTAGTTGAATATTTACTTTGCTAAAATGTGTAGTTGAATACATAATAAAAGTTGAATATGTAGTGATAGCAATTAAAACAAAGAAGTTCATTTGATTGAATAAATTTATAACTAAGATGAATATGAAATAAAAGATTGTCAATTTGTATTATGATAGTCAAAATATTTTACATCTTGCTGCAAATGAAATGATGACTAGGAGTATGAAACACATTTACATCAAGTATTACATTAAAAATTTCTTTATCATAGATGTAATTTGTGATAACATTATTGATTATGTTAAGAATGAAAGTTAATGCATTGAACAAAGTTAAATCTCTGAAAAAAAAAATATAAGACATTGTGCTACTTTGCAGCTTTTAAATAAGGAACACTAGTAGACTTTTCTAGCAATTTTATTATTATTTATATATTTCTTAACTCTACATATTTTTTACTAAGATTTAATTTTAAGAAGCTCTAGTTTTCAGAGTAGTCTTTGTTAGAGTTCTTTCCTGAACCTTCTGCAGACAAATTAATGTCGTGGTAATCAGGTTACGGTATTTACGATCTGAATTAAGGAGTATATCATCAATAGTTAACTTAGTTAGTCTGGTAACTCATATCAGCTTAATTTCAATTAGTGAAGATGGTTAAGTTATTATTATATAAGAAAGTTCACGATAGCTCTTGGCAACAAAATTCAGGGTTTTGTTTCAAAAATAATTAAAATTGCTTGGATGTAGCCCGTTTTGGTGAATCATGTATGTCCAATCTCGGGCGTGTTTTTCTTTCTTTCGGTAAATGTTCAATGCGTTTTGACTTTCCTTGTGATATTGCAAATATTATAGGAGGAATGATCACATCATTTATTATGGACATCGTCAATGAACGAAACAATTTAAGGATGTAGAATACATAATCTGCAAATTCACCTATATATATGTATATAATTTTGCTTTTACATAACATCTTGTCATGAATTTGATTTATAATTGAAAAAAATCAAAAAAATAATATAGCAAATTATTTTTATTATGATTATCTTAAAATAGGAGCTTCGATCTAGCTTTGTTATTATATCATACTACTACTATGTGAAGTAATGGTTCAGATCTACTTTGAATCTAATGATATAGCAGTAACACTTAGATTCAAAGATGATCGTGAAGTTTATATGAGTTCCTAGAACACCTAAGTGGGGATTGAAGAAATACTTTGTAATTAGACCTCAAGATATAATCTTTTGGACTTTATCAAACATAAAAAGTACCTAATATGTCAAAGGTAAAAAATATTTGTTTGAAGTTTGAATACTTTTTTACAACTAACAGCATTCTTTGATGAATAGTAAGTTGAACTGATTGGATATAGCAGGGTGATACTTGTATGGAAATACTAAAAGAAAAATTTGAATAAATATAAGCACTTTGACAACTTATTTGAGATTTAGCATAGTTTCTAAGATTCAATTTGAAATTTATTCCAGAAAAAAAACGATTGAGGTGGAAAAATCTCATTTGGATTTATAAACTATCAAAACTAGAACACTTAATTGAGAATCTTGGCTTTTGTGATATTTCAAGGTTTTGAAATTACATCTAAACGCATGTTATGAATATTTGAAAGAGTGAAACAAAAATCTGAAATATCAAATTACTCTCAAGAGAGCCGAAGATGCAAATTATGAAATACCTGTTTCTTACTCAAAAGTAATTCAACTATGAAGCTTGTGTATGGAGAAAGATTTGTATCCAATAAAATGAATTTTGCAAGATGATAACTTCAATCTTGTCTATAGGTGTGACAGTAGGGTGGGTTTAGTGTTAACTTTACACCGATGTTGACGAAACAGATCAATCACTTTAAATTATGATCGTGATATACTTGTAATATGCAATGTCACTAATGTAAATGGTTTTGCAAGAATGGATTCATATTATTTTCTCATAATGATGAAACACAAGAAATGTATTTTAGAGTTTTAAAGTATTTTAAACCACTTTCGTGTATGGGTCACATACACAAACTGGTTATTGTGTATATTAAATACTAAATTATGAACACAACTCGTGAGAGAGCCAATAAAGTTATCCATGCAAGGTGCTAAATTAATGTAATCATTCTTTATTCTTGTGAAGGTTCATATCCAAAGTACCATATCGAAACTTTGAATAACTATATGGTGTATGAAATATCAACAAAAGAAATCTTTCGAAATGTTCGGAATATCTTCTACTCCTATCTAGAATAACCGGAAACCTAGTTATGTTACAATCAAAGATTAGATTTAAAAAAAAAACAAAATAAACAAAAATCTAGAAAAAATTTACCAAACAAATGAACTAACTTCCAAGTGAAAAGAACACTTCATCTTCCACAATATATCCATATTGAGGATTAATCTACTAGTCACATACGAAAATCACATATTCAGTTCACAAGAACGCTCTTAGTATATTATGAGGCAAATTGAAATAGAAGAATGAAGTACATACAATGTAATTGACGAAAAGATAATGTTGAATTACATACTACGTTTCATCAAGTATGTTCACTCTGGATACGTCTATTAATGTACTGATGAGTGATGCTGGATGGAAGTAATAAACGGATAACCGTATTACTCCTAGTAGAGATCAGCTTTATCTTATGAATGTCAGCATTATATACAAACGATCCATCATGACACATTTACACTATGAAACAGCTACGTGATTCTATAGACTGATCTTGAGACAATATTGTCTTATACATTCCACCACACCACTGAGATTAGACTGGAGTAATTGTGAGACAATGCCCGTTGCCATCGTTACAATACATATTCACTTCAAACACACATGTGGTTACTGGCATAAAGCGATTTATAACAAGGAGGTACATTCAAGAGTACAATCTTTATGTTCAAATGGAAAAAGCAAGGGCCACATCAGATATCACATAAGAGGCGCTCTTCAATAGATTATCACATACCTAATCAACGGTATGATCAAATTGCAGTACAATTTGAGAACATCCATCCTGCTTGTTGGTGCCATGAGACAACAATGACCTATTTGAATCCGGAGCAGAGCAAGCACTATCCTGAACACTTGCGTTGACCTGATGTATGCGCCGGAGAACAAACATGATTTGCCCGTAGTACTAAGCTTAAGCGTTCCAAAATCATTTCTCTTGTGTGTTCATAGTTACAGTAATCTCGATCGGTATGTTTCCCAGACACTCTTCTAATCGTCCTCCTCATCCTCATCCTGCTCATAGATAGTATATTCTTCGTCATCAGCCTTGGCAGGGGGATGGTTCGCCGCATCTCCCACACCATCACCTGAGAAAGAAAATTTTCCCAGCAAAGCCTGCAGATAGTTTTTCGGTATGTTGTCTGCGGGGTCCATGTCTACGCACATCATGTTGTCAAGGTCAGATCCATATGTATCTCTTAAGAGGACAGATTTTCTTCCTCCAATACAATATTCTTCCGTTATACGTCAGAACATCTTCGATTCACTCCAGCATACGACAAATAAAAAGAGAAAGAGACCACAAAAAGTTTACAGGCAAGGATACACCCATCCGGACCAAAATTGAGTTTTCCCACTTCGTTCTGCAAAGCAACAAAACACGATCAAAATAATCAGTACTTTCATCTTGATGCAATCATTCATTAACTAATTTCGACAACATTAGCAACAACTTATTGATCATTTGAAGCAAAACTTCAAACACTTGATCTGATAATGGTTGATCAACTTCAACAAAATTCATAATCCTAGACATACTTTGTTTACATTAGCGTGCAAAAATAATCTCCGGACTCATATTGGGTGGATAAGGTTCATGAATGTCTTCATGGGGTCTTCATGGGGTGGGTTAACATAACTACTATTAACGATCCGTCTCTGTGATAGATGAGGCGTTTGCCAGCACGAGAACAAACTGTCTCAGCTTTCAGTTAGCGCGTGTTTGTGAACCGGCTACAAGCTTGGTAGATCGTATCAAATGGGCAATTTAGGCAGGGTACTTTGGATGCAGACGAGGATGGACGCTTTGGTGACTCTAAATTCAACTCTTACTTAGTATGGCTACGTGAGATGCTGAATAAGAGCTTTAGTAAAGTCGGAGTTGGGGATAAAGCTGCCCTCTTCTTGTAGCCTGATCACGGAGCAGAGCTTTCAATTAAGCACTTACGCAATTGGTTGAGGAGTCTAAAACCAGCTGCTGCTTGTGGTCCCAAATCAACCGAGTGTTCGGACTGTCGGATTATCAATAAAGTGAATAATGCTAAGAAGGGTTGCATAGGGAGAAAACGTATTACTTGTGGAATTGCGGTTCAATGGTCCCCGGATCTCGAAGCACCTAAAACCAAAAGGAGGCCTCTGTCCACCAAGTGCGTACAGGCGCAATTGAATAAGATAGTGTGGGAGCTGTAATATAGCCAACAATAGCATATATGACAAGCGCCAAACAGTCGAGGGTTGCACACAGCCATCAACACTTCCTTTTCCACAAATAAGAACCAGCCCTGTAAAGAGAAAGAAGGCTAAGGATTTGCGATGAGTCGAAACTTTGAGATCTAAGAATGGAGAACTGTTTAATTCGAATTCGCATATTTGTAAGCTACGAGCATTTCGGAGTGAAAACAGCCTGTTATGACCCGGTGACACGAAATTTTTGCAGATGAGGATGTCCCTCGGGCGGATGAGCAAGATCCGTTCTGTTCAGCACGTCTGTGACTAGACACTTGAGCACGGGCGGCGTGTCCGCACGAGGGACATCCGCATGGAGGGATACAACATTGAGGTGCTTAGAGATAAATCTACTATCCCGTCTTGTTTTTGTACCTAATCTCTTCATGTTAGCATCGCTCAGCCTGCCGGAAGCCAGGCTACGTTCATAACGCTATAAAAGGCCTACAGGAATGCGTAGAATCAAATGAGGACCAACAATATATGGCAACCGGTGAATAGAATGCGTAGAAAAAATTCAAACCTCTGACTGCATATCTACTTCTTCAAATTCTTCTTCATCTTCATCGTCCTCCAATTCTTCCTCGTCCTCTTCGTCATCTTCTTCGTCCTCCAGCTCTTCCTCTTCGAATATTTTGGCGGCAGGTTCATCCTCGCCCATGTCATCCACATGACCTACATACATACAAGCATGGAGAGACAATTGTTAAAAGGATATGCCTTACTCATTCATAAATGCTATTTTCTTCAGACTTCAAATCAGATATAGGTAGAACATTGAAGTCCTTGTAGCTGATTAATTAGCAATTCACTCAAATTACTCGTGGAATGTAAGGTCCAAAACGTCTTTTACCTCCTATGGTGAGTAGCTCTGGTTGAAGTGGTTCAGAAGCACCTTCAATTCCATCACCCGCATCAGCATTACAAGTCCTCTCTGGAACGTTCTTCACGGAGTTTGTAGGTTCTTCCTCAAGCTCAAAGGCAGACCTCGGCCTACTCAAGTTCTTACGTTCTGCATTCTCGAGGCTCCGGGCAACATCCCCTGAATAGAGTTCAAGAAATCGAATCCGCACCACTAATCTCATTCTCTGAATTGTGCTCAAACGGTACCAACCAGTAGATTCCTGATAGACTTCACGTTTGGCGGATTAGCAGCCTGAAAAGAAGAGTCATCTATGTGTATTTTGACATGTACTTTGACACAATAAAAGCACTCGTGTCAATCTCCAAACTAAGATTTGTAATCCGAGGAAGATAACAACCTGAAAGCAGAAGCATTTGGAACTTGACAGCGACATATGAGGCCATGAACCAAGCTAGATGTAAGACCCATTGCCTTGGACTGACAGAAGATCGAGGTTTGCGAAAATAAAACTAAACAAAAACGACACACCAGAAAACTGTGATACTCACCCCACAGGTAGCTCGCTCGGGCGGCTTACTAATTTCGGCCTGTATAACTTCATCTTGCAGATCATGCATCTGAAATATTGTAAATCTTTTTGTTGGAACAGTCTTGAAAAAGCAAAGATCCTTCCAGCTGCGATTGACATGAATTTAAAGACAAGGTGTTAGACATGCTGAAGAACTAAACTCAGTAATAATACATTGAGGTTAGCTTCAATTTATATTTTCTCGAACTGAAGAAAAAGATCGCGATCGCAATACACATGAGCAGGTTATTCTATATCCAATTCGATCCATATCAACTGCCCAACTGCAGCACTGTGTGCAAAAGATGTGCTGTATACAAACAAGACTATGAAGACACAAAAATGAGTAAGAGCGAATTAACACCTGGGTGAAGCTTTTGATTGTGAAGACTGCACTCGCAACACCGCTGGCACTCTGAAGTCTAACGCTTGATACCTTATTCCACAACCATGTCAGTGAAGCGTTAACACGAGAAAGACAGAATGACAGAAGAGTATACCAGAGAGCATTGAGGGCGAAATCAGTTTTGAATGTTAAGCGGACTAAGGAAAAGAGGATTTGCAATTTTCCTTGGTTCCAGCACAATTCGACTAAGATCAAACTGAACAACCTCAAATACTAGATTAACTAAATCGGTGCTAGGTATACTGTAATTATCGTTGCTCAGCTCCTAACGATGACTGAGAGAAAAGAATGTAAATATGAGCCACTTAAATAATAATTAGAGAATGGCCTCACCCTTCAGCGTGAGCTGATCAAAGGCAGGAGTACAAGTTATGAACTGCAGCAGAGAAGGGCTGGAACAAATCAAAGATATCTAAACTTCAAAGGTGATGCACACGTTGAACCGAACAAAAGCTGAAGTAAAGAGTATGTAATGCACAAGAGAACAATGGAACAACTCAAAACTCTCAACAGGTGATGCACGAGTTGGTCTAGATTGATGCTAACAAAAGCAGAAGTAATTGTTATGCACTTTACTAGACAAATCAAAGTTTCCCAGACTGATGATGCAGAATGTGAAACACTGTAAACGTTTAGCAGTATCCAAGTCCGACGGACTTGACACTGCTCAGCCATGGCGCATCTTCCCGTGAAGTTCTTCCAGAAAGAACTTTCTCCTACAGAAACAAGGATTGTTTACTCGAAATGATCCTTGTTACTGAAACAATAGTACCCTGAAATTTTGCCATCGAGATCTGATATGGAGACAAACCACCGAGCACAAAAACCGCCTGGACAGATATTGAAGACGTAAAGAGAGTGATGAATATAACTCACCTACGAGACTCAGGATCTACCCGTGGGTCATAACCATTCTTGATCCAAAGATTACGGAAAGGTCCACATCCGAAGTAGTAAGAAATTCGAAAAAGCAAGCTGTTGCAATAATTGCAAATAGAATGTATTAGGCTCTAGTATTTGTACGATTACTAAAATGAGGCCGGTACCGGTTAGCGATTATCTAAGAACATCTTTGAACTGTTGTAATTTGCTACCAAATCTTACTACGCTAGAGGTGGCAAGTAACTGTACATACAACCTTACCTATTGAAGTGTTCAGAAAAAAAACTTTTGAATTTGACATTAAGGCCATTCATGCATAAAGCAGAATGGAGCATACAGAATAAATCTCTCCAACCGCTGCGAGATCTAACAGAAACAGAAAAATTCATTTCGACAAACACCTAGAAACAATCTTGAGAAACTTTTGAAACAAATACGATGTTAACACTAGATACTAGAAAACACAGCAGCTCGTTGAAGGGCTTCGAAGATTGTTCACCTTCTAAGGTAGGCGTCAGTGACAAAAATTTCCTGTTCCATCAGTCTCTCATTCAGCGTGTTCTTGGCCCAGACAGGCCGCTCCTCGAACATTTTCACCAGGGCCTCCGTCCGTGCATATGCATCTGAACTTCTATCCAGTTGTTGTTTCCATGTAGTAGTTGTAGGAACTTGTGAAGAAAGTTGAGGACGCACATGCTAATGAGCTTGACTATTTCCTACAATATACCATTGTACTTGACGTATAATATCTTCTACATTTGATCACCTCGACAATCTCAAGCAAGTTCTATGACAAGGATATCTTTAATCTTGAAATCCAGGGCGAATGGCACAACAATCTGCATGACGCAGAGAACAACGGTGACAGTTCAGTACGTAATGACGTATTATTGTTAATCAAGATACGCTTTAGAAGATCTTAAGAAGGTCTTAGACTGATACATTTGCAGAAGGTAGAAGAAACATGTCTAACTTGACTTTAAAGCACAAACCAAGTCATAGACATTACCTCGGGGCTGATTTCTGTTTCAACTAGGCCTTGCTTTGGTTTCTTCCCTCCAGGTGGTCGCAAACTGGAAAAGAGCAATCAAATCTCCCATCAGAACTCTAAAATCTACAATATACGCAAATACTTATTATTTGGTAGCCAACGAGCTACTTAGATCCAGAACTTAGATGCAGAAATCACTCGCTTCTCCTCTTCGAACGCTATGTTGCCAACCCAGCAGACCAATATTTTCCAGTACTTCGGACACTCTCTTCTAACTGTTACTCTTACTCTCTTCCTATTTCTCAACTGATATATTGCAGAAGCTTACAATATATCTTCCGGTAAATCCTTGACAGAGAACAGCGGTGGAACTAGCATCAGCAGCTCTCCATGCTCCATGTCCAACAAACTCCCCTTCTCTGTGGTCCACACACGATCATCGATCAGACGCCAAAGGAACACACACACGAAAGATGAAGACAATCATCACACTTATGTAATCTAAAAGAAAAACATCATTCTGCATCGAGCATCGTGAGATATGTGAATGTACATATAAAATGTATATAAAATGACTTCGATAATTCCAGTGTTGCCGATAGTTTAATTCTCATATAAAGTATAATACGACCTCGCGTGCACAACAAGCAGAGAAAGTGGGATGAAGAATCTGGATGAAGTCAATGGTAACCACTTATGGTTCGGATGCAAGAACAATCCTTGAAAATCAAGCTTTATAAAAAACATGTGGACTACTTCATACAATCAATAAAATTATGAGGTTCTAGAAAGCAATACGAACGATCAAAATAGCTGCAAGGTTTCAAAACTCCGAGAAAACACACTCCAGCACAAAGTTGCACTCTAAGGACACAATGAGATGTTCTTGTGTTGTCATTTCTGTTTGTTTGTTACAAAGGCGTTTGAAAGTTAAAACCTGCAACTGTTTTGTGCATCAACTCTGAACGCAAATTCGTTTCTTTGATTACTTCAAGAGCAGTCTGAGGCATCACAAGTGAATCCGAAATTAAGAGGAGACAGAAAGAGATACCTTGTTGATGTCCCCTACGCTTGTGGCCTCTATTTTCATCAGCGTGTACAGCTACCACATACTGGTAATCAGTCATTCCTGTCAGACGCGAAATGGACCCAAACCTATTATTTACCCAAACTTTGCCTTCCAAACCATGAGCCCACAAGCATCTGGCAAAGCCAAGGCGAAAGATGTAAGCACGGGATGCAACAAGTCAAGGATAAGTTCTCTTGTCTATGTCAACAGGAGTATTTTCAGAAACCAAATTCTTTTGGTAACGCAGACCCAAATTTGAGATTTTATAAGCAGCCGTGGATAAAGAACAAATGCAGGCTGAGCTACTTGAAATGGTAACCAACGAGATAGAAATGAAAAGATGAACAGTTTAAAAGTTGAATAAAATTTAAGGTCCACACAAAGTTGTGGCCACGAAAGCACGAGGAATCAGAGCTGACCTTCAAAGGCGTACGTTTTATCAACTTTGGCCACAATTTCAGCTCGAATGTCTTCCGTGCTTTGCAAAGCTTTCGCATTCTCATCTTCCACACTCTCTGCAGACGTGCTGATGGCACTGTCTACCGTATCCCTTCTCCAATTCTTTCTGTTGGGTTTACGCGAGAGTCGAAGAACGAGATCGGAAGAATGATTGAGTTCACCGAACGCAGGATGTGCATAAGGATCCTCGGGACGAAATTTTAGCTCCAAAAAATTCAACTCAGAAGAACGTGCCTGATAACGTTTTGGGCATAAGGCACATAATCAGCTATACAGCGTTGGGTGCAAGGGCAACCACAAATCATGAATTATTCACTGAATTCGACGCAAATTAAGATAAAAGCTGCAAAGTTTAATATAAAAGGTCGCACACTTGATGTCCAGAACAATGATGAAAAGTCCGCAGTTTTAGAATATCTTGAATGCGGGTCACTTACTTTCGCAAGACCTTCCTCCCCACCCAGTGTCTCAATTGCACGACTGACAGAAGACGGGTACCCAGGATAGTTCACGGCGAAAGCTACCTGCTCCGGCAATTTTCCAGAAATCGTTCCACCAACGACAAGCCCCATCTCAATTCTTCTACCTACCTGGAGAATCGCTGTTCTCCAAATCAGTCTTGCTCCTGGACTCTGACGTTCCGACTCTGCATCATGCACGGCCTCAGCCCTGAGATCCCAACCCAGCGCGTCACCATGCCTCCAATCATCACATACGGAAGATACTCGCTTCGCACACTGTCAAACTAAAGGACGACGATTCCAGAGATCTGTGTCGGAAACTCTAGTGCACCCATCGTTCGCTTTCGTGCATCGATCGAGGTTGCCAGTCTGCCTCTGCTCTTGGAACATTGCCAGCCCTGGATAAATGTAACCTCCAACCCTTGATCTTTGTGTGTATAGAGACCGAGTAATGTAGCAAAGAGGATGGAAGACCCAACAAATTCATACAGGGATGATCCACCGGAGGTAAAATGGGACTAGGCCCTAACAGCTCACGATGGGAAACGATGGTTTCTGAACAAACAATATCGAAATTATCTACTTCGAATTACTACATACGACATTTGCACATCAGTAACCATCACCCAACCTATTTCATGAGCGAGTGATTTATGTATGCTACATTGGCTTTTATCCAAAGGATGATTGAGTATCCCCCGTCAGAATATCTATTTTATGATCTCTAAACTTGTAACCGTATATAACATCTTGAACCAAGTATATGATTGCATTAACTCAAATCAAGTGGAAGGTGTTCACTCGATGTGAGGTGTATTCACTCTCCTGCAAAGCCGACCAACGTTACATCCATTTCTTATATCCATTCCCTCCTGAAATAGCAAACACCGTATCCCTAATGGGATCATAAGTTGTTATGATCCGTGACCCGATTAGATAAAGAATCATGTAATCTTGTTGCATCTTTAATGTTTTATTCACAGTCACATGTGACGAATTAAGATGCAACTAGGTGGGAAAGTCAAGATGGAACAACAGTTACAAAAATAAAGAATAAGCAGATGAGGCATTCGAAAAGCCTTGTTTCCAATATCCACAAACCCTCAATACTCTAAATACATCAAGGTAGATGGTAGATCACTAGTAGGTGGTCAAAGGGAGATAGTCTCGTACCAGGGGTACAAAACATGTGAAAGCACTTTTACATGCCGTTAGATGTTCTCTTTCTCAAACTTCACTTGTAGTATATTATAAATTCTACACTGAGGATTCTTGTTTGGAACCATTTTCGGGTCCGCTGTCATTTCCTCCTCATTAATTCCTTCCCAAGTAGTTCCATCCAGGAGCGACAACCGAGGACAGATGTTTCGCAAAAGCCGAGAAGAGAGGATCTAGCAGCTCAGCGACGACAAAAGCCAACAACACCTCTCGAAGCACTGAACTCGATGGCGGCGAAAAACGGCAAGTTTCGCAGCTCGCGAAAGCTCTCTAGATTGTGTCTTCTCGCAACTGAAATTTGCATCGACGGTGGAGTAAAGTGAAATGATGTATGTACTGGCTGCAGCACAGCAGCTGTGCCTTTTCACGGCCAGCGCGACCCTCGGCGTACTTTCAGACCTGTACAATGGGTTAGGCACTGGCCAGAGAACCCTACTCTCATGTCACCAAGACTTAAATCGTATTCGAAAGCCAATTTACTGCTAGTGAGGCGAAACGAAAAGATCATGGGGCAATGTAAGGGAGGGAACCCAAGTACAATGCAAACTAAAGCCACCGACCGTATACCTCCGGGCTGAAGGCCGGAAGTTTCATACGCACACCCTCGGACCTCAACTTCTTTGTTCTACATATCAAGCCTAACTGCTATAGTCTTTTTGTAATTTATAACTAGTCCAATATGCATCTTTCTTTCAATGTCGTAGTTATGTGTGGGATTCTTGGCGGATTGTATAGTATAATATCATATAATACCAAATGTATTATACAACACTCATTCATAGATGTTTATTTGTCCATCAACTCCTTGGTCTCACAAATATACTCGTAATGCATGCCCTCTACGCCCTTAGATATGTCAACACGATCAAATTCTTCAATGCTACCACCACCAGCATCCGAATCCTCGTAGATGGATACTTTTCAAGTTCAGGTTCATATCTGCTTTCAGGTTTGAGCGGCTACATCCACTTGCAAAACTTTCTATCACTCATTACAGTGATTTGACAATAGAAATGTTTTGAATTGAATAGAATTTTGTCCAACCGAGCTCGTGAGCAACTATGAACGTGTTTGACCGCTTTCTGATTGAGCTTGTATCCATTTGCCCTGTTGTATTCTTGTGCATTGCAAATAGGAGAGGTTGATCGTCAAATAAGGTTCACAATTCACACAACTTGAAGATTATATAGTTGAAATCATCATTTTTGTCCTTTTCTCGCACAATGAACATTGCAAACTTGCTAACAAAGTTATCTTGAAGGTTGTTGTTGTCATTGGTGAGAGTGCTAAATGTGGAGTTAGACTCTTGGTTGATAAGAAATTTTTCCAACTGCAAAGACTTTTGGTTGAACTTTGCCGCGATACAAATGCCCATGGAAGTTGAGTAATGTTACATTAGCAAATGTCAGAGCATGGGCATAGATTGTCGAGAATTTACAATGAATCATCGTACCTTGTCGCCAATTTATGCCTCCACTCACACTCTATTCATAAATTATTCAATGTCATTTTTAGTTAAATCCAATGAGTACATGAAAGCGAAAGTTAAAGTCTTAGTGTGAAAATCGATCTTAACGTAATAGGCATACACAAAGCAAAAATGTTATTTAGTTTTTTTTCCAAATATGTTAAACATGAGCAAATCGTCTCAAAAATTGATTTCATCATAGATTTTTCATTCTAATAAGAATTTTTTTTATTGCATATACAAATGTCATAGTAAGCATTAATAATTTCTACTTACAACAATGCACATGCGGATTTGACCGTGTTAGCACGTTGAACGACGTATTAGACAATGTTCCATCGAATCTTCATAAAAAGTATTAACACAAATTTCTAGCCAAGTAGATAAATGTTTTAATAATTACTTGAAAAGTATTGTTTCATTGTAAAAAATGTCAAGAAAAAATAAATCTTCAATCCATCCATTATGAAAGAATTGAAGATAATGGGTACATATGTTATATTATACCATTGTTCAAATTATCTTGATCTATTTAGACATATCATGTATAGTTTAGACAAATGTTAATTTGTTAAATAAATTATTTAGCAGATAATTATTTATTCCGATTTATCAAGCAATAATTTTTTTATAAACAAAATTTTTTTTGTGTACATGATTACTTCTAATTGAAAGTTTTATAAACGCTTGCAATATAAATATTTCTCCCATAATAAGATCAAAAAGTTGTACTCTTTAACACTGCTTTCATAAAAGATGTTGCAACGACATTATAATATTTACTTTGATTCACCAATCAATCACCAAATGAATATCAAGTTTAATTAAAACTTGAAATGTTCAAAAGTGACAAACAATATTCATGTCACGATGCAAATGATTTATATTTTTTTAAAAAAAATATTGCAAAATAATGATTTCATTCAATGAGAATGAAGTTGAATAGAATCATGAATAAAAAAAATTTACCATTTTTTAATTATCATCTACTAGATTACATGTGATCAATATCAGATTATCTTAAATTTAATAAACTTTTCATGATAAATATGTTGTAATAAATATAATAATTTTTGCAATGAACAATCAAATTTAAACATTAAATATTCATTGTAGTTGCGTTTAATCTGATTATAGTTGGGCACTTTGTGTGCAAAAGAGGGTAGAAGCTGGTTTCAAAGCTCTATATTCATTGCTAAATAGATGTAGAGGAGCTCATCTAGTGTCTTGGAGTCTTAGGAAATTCTTATTCATGAGCTTAGTGTTTCCCGTTATCTTATATGGAACACAAGTGTGGGGTCATGGTTGTAAGAAGACAGGTTGGCAGCGTTTGGAGAGGGTGCAAAAGATCTTCTTACAAGAAGAATTGGGTGTGAGGACCCAAACTTCTCATGAAATTCTTCTTGCGGAAACAGGTTGTCTACCTCTTGAGGCTGAAGCTCTCTTTTTGACTATCACTTACGTTAAAAGAGTGAGATCTCTTGATGCTTCTCGACTTCCTCTTGAAGCTTTGCGTGCCACACGTCCCAAGGGTTGGTTTGCAGATGTGGTGACTTGGTCTTTGGGGTGGAATGTGACGGAACTCGATTGGAATTTGCAACCTATTGCCCTACGCGAGCGTATTAAGGAGGAATTTCTCAACATTATGTGGAGCACACGAGGCACCAAGATGCAGTTTTATCAACTTCATGTGAATCTTATGCTTGTTTATTGTGAGCAAGAATACTTACTTGCAGAGATATCTACTTCTTTACGTCATATTATTGCTAGACATAGAACTGGATCTCATAATCTTGGGATTGAAGAAGGGAGTTGGTTGAACATTGATAGGAGTGAACGTATTTGTAGACTATGTGATGGAAGAAAAGTTGAGGATGAAGAGCATGTATTTCTTACTTGTACTAGGTATGTAGAGATAAGAGTGTCTCATAAAAATGTTGTTGAGAATTTTTATTCTTTGCTTCAGCTTGAACCTTATGATTTAGGTTGTTACATTAGGGATGTTATTAGTTACCGTTCTAGTGCTTTGGGAACTAGCTAGGGTGTTCTTTTGGTTCTCTCCTTGTTTGGAGTTGGATTCTTTGTATTGTGTTTTTTAGCCTTTTGATCCTTTGGGTCCCACGGGTTTGATCTATTTACCATTTACCAATATAATGATTAATAAATTCATTTGTTTTGTTGATTCAGTTTTTGTAATTTTAAATATTGACTTGTAAGTGATGCCAATTTTTTAAAATTGTGTTAAAACCATTATTCATTTAAAATAAAAATTTTAAAATTATGATTGAGAAAATTTTGTAACAAGTATTTTAGAATCACAAATTTTGTATTTGAAATTTTGTTTATACAAAATTTCAAATGTTTAAAATTCTGACGTGAATTCATTTAAATCTAATAGATAACAAGAAGAAATTTTTCCACTCAAATTTCAATGCATTTACAATTACATTGTAGGCAAAATTTTGAATTTATAGTTTTTGAGTTTGATTTTAATACTTTTACAATATATATATATATATATAATTCATTGAAAGAATTAAAGTATATTTTAATTTTGAAAAGTAAAAAAAAAAATTCATGCTCTTTTTATAAATTATATGAATGTTGAAAAAGTTTTGAAGCATGTAGCTTAATCACAAATACTTATATCATTTTATATTGTATTCATGTTGAGATTTTATTCAATTGCAGTGGTTAAACATGTAATATTATAACTTAAATTAAATTCATATTGATCAATTTGTATGATTATACTCACTAACATGAATCATTATAAAAAACACTACAAAATAATCATTTACATATTATTGAAATTTAATTTTTAATACAAAATAAATTTACGTGAAATTTACAAATTATTGGAGCAATGATTGGAAGAAATGATGAGCTATCTACAATTAATCTACATTTTGGCATGTGACAAAAAATACTTACAATTTTGACAAAAGAGATGAAGTGTGAAAGAAATAACAAAGATAAAAATTATTATTCTAAACATTTTGAAAATGTTATGTATTATAACAATAACATGTATTATAAATACATTATATTACATATACATGAATTAAGATTAGATATAACTTGGATAGTTTTAAATATTTGATTGAAATGTGATGATAGTTTACATAATGGATCAACTTTAAAGCACATTATATATGTATTTATATTTAATTATTTATTTTAAAAATTTTCAATAGATCAAAAAATGATTTTTTAGTAGAGTTTTTTTAAAGTTATGTTATGATAGTTGTTTGCAATGGATATCATGATGTGAATAAATGAATTCTAATGTAAATTTGATTTTCATATTTTTGTACATTATCCACAAACTTGTATCAATATTATGTATAACTAAGACTGAAAAAAAGAATTTGGGTTTTAAAATGAAAAATATCATAATTATTTTCCCTTTTTAATATTTTCATATCTTGAGTTGATTCAAAAAAATATCATATCAATAAATAACATGCTTAATCAATAATCACATTGCTTTTGGAACAATTTTGTAAGCAAATGGTATAAGATTCAAGAACTGAAATTTTGTTAATGTTACGTTAAAACCCTTTATTCAAGTACATAATGTTGGCTAAAACAAGAATTGAACGATATTTCTTTAATTTCTAAAAAATCTATATACTACTGACTTTTTTTATTTTGAAAAACAAAAACTATTAATCTAGCATCTACAAATTACTTGTGTTCTGCTGCGTGATTGTTTTTCATCATACATTTTTTAAATGCTATTAATAGATATATTAGTTTTTCTTCTCCTTCATAAAAAAAAAAAGTAAAGTTCACCACAATTATTAGTATTTATTAGATGTAAACTATAAATTTCATGAATGATTGATTCTGTTTAAAGGCTTATAATGTAACATCACAAATAATTCAATTTGATGCACAGGATTATTGATGGAGAATAACTAAATTTCTATTTAAATGAACATGTCATGATTTTTTAAAAGTAAATCTCACTTTAATTTTTTAAAAGATTTTCTTCATACTTAGGACCATTAGATACGTTTTTTTCTAAACGAATTTATTACAAAATTTAAATTTTAAATTAAAAATAAAATAAATATAAATAATAATTTAACTTATTAAATAAAAAATAAAATTATAGAGGAAATATTTGATTAGTATCTTCTCACAGTTAAACAATGTTTGTGAAAATTTGCTAAGTTGTTATGTATTTAATGACGTGTAGAATTTCATATGAGTCACATCAAGAAAATTAATAAATATGTTTGTGTTCTATTCTGAATTGATTTCTCATAATAACATCCTTTATAATTAATGAATACTTTATATAAAATACTATTTTTTTAACCAGTCAATTATTTTTTTGAAAGTTATGTTTATATATACATCAATTACATATAGTTTGTCATATGTGTATTTGATTGATAAATCAAAGAATTGAACAAGTTAGAATTTATTTTATAATTCATAAGAGTTTATAACATTGTTTCGGTGACAGGTGTATAGTGGAAAGGGTAGTTTTTTTTTGCAACAAGAGAATGCTAATGCAATTCAATATGATGGCCTCACAAGTGATATGAGAAGTTCGTGCGCGGAGTGAATTAAGTTAAAGCTTCGTGAGAGACCCTTTATTGCATTGTATGTAGAGTATGAATATGAAGAAGTATTACATCTGTTGGTTTGTATGGAGGGATATGTGATAGTACTAAATATATTTGTTATGCTGTGTGGGGTATGATACCTGGAATTATGATTAGAAGGAGGGTTTAGTTTAAATGTAAGGAGTCATAATGGCCGTATATAGGTGAATGGGAACATATTTAAGCTTGTGAATTACCAAGCGTGAGATTTCTCATCCATAATAACTGGGTTTTCTTCATATAATCCACATCTAACATGGTTGAGAACAATGCAACATTTTATCTTTTCCATGACAGATTAGAGGCGTGTTTACGAATTTCTCTTGTACATACTATTTACTACTTGAGGTCAGACTTGTTATGAATTGCCATCTAACCGTCAACTGCTATAGAGTTTCGAGAAAACCCATTGTCTCTTGCTGAAATGCGAAGTGTTTCACAACGTTGAACTTGAAGTCCCCAAAGTCAAATCACTTCTCCAAAGAAGTATGTGTAAAAAAGAAGTGCATCGCAAAGTTGACCTACATTTTTGTTCTTTTCAAAATTTCGACTGCTTTAAGGTGCACTTTACATGTTCTTTCGTCCGTTCATCAATATACTTCCACTCGGAGGCTTCTATCTGCCCTTCGTTCGCTCATCAATGAGTTCGCCCTCCCGAGCTTCTATATGCATCGGAATGTAATTCTGCATCGCCTCTCGGCACCTCGAGGAAGAGAAACATCTGTGGTTTGAAACCCAGAGCCTATTTAAGGGGATTTCGTGCCCAATCTTACTCTTCTATTCCAAGGACATTCAGAAAATTCTTTGGATCAACTTCCGGCGTACCGCCTGATTGGCAACATGCGTTTCGTCCATAGAGCGTATTATCCTCGGTCGTGAGAAAGGAGCGAAGAGCCCCAATCCAATTAGCACATCTCGCTAAAAATAATGGCAGCATATTTAGAAACCACGCTGCCCGGAGATCATACTGTTGTGATTCAAATGCTGCCCGGGCTACCATAAGGCTATAAAAAGTAAGAGGGTTCAACGGGAAGGAGAAATTTACACTCACGAAGCGACCATTTCAACGCAACGTGTGCGACGATAAGAACAGAAGCACTAGGAGCAGCGACGGAGGGAGGCCCGCTAGGCCTGGCGATGGATTTAGTGCCGCGAGCGGCGAAAATATTGGGGAGAAGATAGAGGAGGAACGCGTCGGAGCGACTAGCAATTGATTGGAACGTAGAAGGAGGAGAAAAAGAAGCAGAGGCCGAAGAAGAAAGGAAGAAGAAGAAGCCCAAGGCTCGAGGAGGAGAAGGAAGAAGAAGGCGGAGGAGCAGGAGGAGGCGGAGAGCTGGCGGAGGGAGGAGCAAGAGGTCGTCGAAAGAGAAGGGCAGAAAGAGCGCTGCTGCTGCTGGAGAGACGACCACTGACGACGGACAAAGCGAAGAAAACAACAGACAGACGACAGAAGCGACAGCTAGCACAAGTAGAAGGGTGGAGAGGAGAACGAGACCGAGCGAGGGAGCGAGGCGGCGAGGAAGGCAAGGCGAGGCAAGGCAAAGGCAGCTTGACCAACTTTACCGTGGCGGAGCGAGTGAAGACGAGAGCAATTCGTACGGGATCTGCCGGGGGAAGGGAAGGGAGGGGAGGGGAGGGGAGGGCGCAGCGGAGGGAGGCTGGGGGGAACGGGCAAGGGAGCGAGTGCGAGTGCGCGAGAGAGGGACGGAAGTCAAGGACCTCCGTGTCCTGCGAGCGAGTCGGGAGGAAGGAGGTAGTGGGGAGCGTCGGGGCGGGCGGTCGGTCGGGGTGGCGAGGGCGGAGAGCAGCGAGCGGGCGTTTGATTGATGCGAGAGGTGGTGGTTGTGGTGCTAGAGGCCAGGGTGCAAAATGAGCTGGAAATGTCGTGGAAGATGATGTGCCTCGTGAGGTTTAAGAGGTAGTTTGCTGTAAGCCGGCGCTGGTTGCTGTCACTGTGTTTCTTTCCCCCCATCGTGTTCGCTTTGCGGGTGGTGTTAGGTTGGTAACTCTCTATCTGGGAAGCGGGGGAGTGAGGAGTTGTTCGTCACATTTGCTCTAGAAGTTGAGGATGATAGGGGGAGGGTTGCTGCAATTGGCAGTAGACTGTACTCAGTTGTTACGGTCCATCTGTAATTGGAGATGTATGGGACATGAGGGGCCATCACGGAACCAGGTGCAGAGAGGCTTCTAGAGGGGGAGAGATTGTCGCCATCGCACTACTGAGCAATATGATCGAGAAATGACACGCCTAGTGAGAACGCATAGGAATGTTTAATTGGTAGGACAGAGTAGAGAAGAAGTCTTAGAAAGGGGCAAGAGATGGAGGGAAACAAAAGCTGGTTTAATCGATTCCAACCTAAATCGGACAGGTTCAAGGTCTCTCTGGGGAAAAAGAATGGCTCCGCAGGCTCTGATAGTTCGAGGGAGAGTACTAAGTCTGCAGCTGATGAATTACCATCGAGTATCACGAGGCAAAAGGTTGCGGCAGCAAAACAGTATATCGAAAACCACTACAAAGCACAGATGAAGAACTTGCAAGAGCGCAAAGAACGGTATTTAAGCTCTTTCCCTCGTCCAACATGTTTCATTGTTGTCGTTAGGAATGTTTGAGCTCTTTCCGGAAACTGAGGGAAGTTCGCATCCCGTGCCATGCCGGCTGAAGGTGACTAACTTGGACCCAAACTTGAACGGAAGTGACACCCGTGATTAAGGGCTCCTGAAGGGAGCTATCAACTGAAGATCATCTGGATTAGACCTTCAACCCGCGTTTCGAATCACCGGTGAGATCGTTACTTTGCCGCTACCGGAGCTGTCCACTCAAAGTGACATCGGAGAGCGCGGGGCCATAAGCTTTCCAATTGTGCCCTTGGAGTACAGAGCACGTCTTTAAAGCTGCAACGGAGTTGTAGTAGCTGTATTTGTTGTAACTCGTTACAAACAGTTCGTGTGGAGAGAGTTTAGGGGTCAATCATTTGGCTACTCGCAGCCTGCTTTTCTTTCAGAGTACATGATGTGCCTCTTTGTGTCTGACCACAAACAGGGCTGTAGTCATGCGACTATCCTATTAGATTCTTCGTAGAGTCAAAATGCTTAGCCGATGCGTCCATCGGCAATTTAAGATCGTCTACTTAGGCACGAAGTTGGACTCATGTCCAAGTCTTGATATCTGTACTGTCAAATCTTTCGACGCCAATTCCGGTTCTCCCTGCTTTTCTCGTAAAGATGAAGTACAGTAACGTGGGGTAGTGCATCCAGCTGATGGAAGAGGAAGACCTTCTTACAATATAGAGGGTCTAGCCTAGGAGCCATCAGGCAGGTCTTAGTTCCCCGGGGCTCAGACTTTACCCCCGTGGAACGCGGACCCGTAGGCTTTACTGTTCTTCTCATCCGGTTGCCGGAGCTTTGGAGGACTAAAGAAAACATTTTGTTGACGAAAGTGGTTTCTTTTATTACGGTGTAGCCAGCGTTTGGTTCCTTCTTTTGTGATCGGAACGGAGAGGGTCATTTCCGTGATGATAATGTCGTCTAGGGATAGGGATGCAGTAATATCACCGCACCAAGAACGAGATGAAGATCTGAAATTGACGATTGTTGATGATGTGAATTGCTGGTTGAACCTAGAACGGGAACGGGTAACGCGTCTCGCAATGTTCTCTGCTCTACTCTTTTTATGTAGTACACGAACTTGAATGAAATCAATTAACACCTGTCAGCAAAGCGAGTCTTAGAATGTGTTCTCTTTGGATCGGTGAGAAAATGCGTGCCAAGAATCTTACTTTTTTCTTTTGAAATTTAACTTTTGTTCCGAAAGCTTAGTAGACCTACGTATTCACAGTTCTCTCCGTGCTCTCTCTGTATGTTAATTCTGCAGAAAGAGAAATCACTTGTAGCTCTTCCATTCTCGTCTCCGAAATCACAGTACCGTCAGTGCAGAGCATATCACCGTCTCAGTTGTTCTGTCTATTAATGGATCGTCCAAGTTACATCTATATGTGAACGTGTTTGTTGATTCAAAGGAAATTTCTGATCATGTAGCTGCATATGACTATTGTTGTGTTGCAATTACTATATGTCATGCACAATGGAGAGTAACGTGTTGTTACCTCCGCTTTATCTGAATACTGATGAATATCTCTTGCAGCTCTGACTATCTTGTCCTTTGAGGTATGTAATCAATGCTAGTAAGCAGTTTTCGTAAATGGCTCTAGTGTAGGGGTTAACTATGAAAGAATACGATTTCTACTATATTGGTTGTATACGTGGTGAAGTACATTTATAAGAATAATAATATAAATAATAATATTGATATATAACAGTTATTCTTTGAGCTACCAAAACATAGATAATTTATAAGACAGTTGCTCCTCACAACGTACCCATGGGTTGTTGAACTAACACCATGGAGCAAATCACATAGAGTGGTCTGTCTTGGACTGAGTTTGGTCTTTTCTTTTGGCAGTCGATGGAGCCTCGAGCGGAAATTGGCAGATGCAGATGTCTCGGAGGAGGAACATAATAATCTTCTGAAGGACCTAGAGAGAAAGGAGACAGAATACATGCGTCTCCAAAGACACAAAATGGGGGTGGATGACTTTGAGCTTCTGACCATCATAGGTAGAGGGGCTTTCGGAGAGGTAATGGCTCTTCACAAGCATGCTATACTGTAACGGGGTGCAGGTTTTGTCGTTCAAATAAGTGTGATCTTTTAAGCATTACAGCTTGAAATCATCTCTCAAAGTTAATTGTGTATGCACCTGTCTGGATGCCTTAATATGGTGGATGGCTCTCGAAGGTCAAATGTATCAGCTCTTTATCAAAGCCGATATAGTTGTACAGAACCGTGATCTGGTCTTATTTTATGAACGAATCATTAATAAATTTGTCCTTCTATTGATGTATTATTCTGGTTACAATGGCTGCAGGTTAGGTTGTGCAGGGAGAAGTTAACTTCTCAAGTGTATGCAATGAAGAAGTTAAAGAAGTCTGAAATGCTCCGGAGAGGACAGGTAAACTACCAAACGGGTGTCCATTACCTTGAGATCCAATGTTACAACTTCTATCTTTGATTTCCTATGTATTGGTCACGATCGGCAGGACATGGAGGTTAGCTCCTCTTGGCTCGAGCAGAATATTACGGCATTGTATCGCGCCAAAGATGCTGAGTGGAAGGACTTCTATTTTGGTGGGATCGGCAAACCTCAAGAAACGTGTTCTCCTTTTGACTTTCACTTGACATTTTTTTCCTTGTGCCATGGATCTTTGAAACTGCTCACGATGGGTAGGACGTCGAAGAATCTCTATTAGGGCATAGCTGCTTTTCGTTACAATATGGTGTTGATTTTACCGGTAAAACCACAAGAATGGCTTCGTTCTCTTCGACATCCGACTTCAATCCTTATATCTCCCTTTGATTCCCGTCATACCGCACGCGAAAGTTGGTTGTATCATAGTCCTACTGGTCTCGATTTCACTACTCTCTCACATCTAGGCGAGAAATTTCCCCTCTTACGAAATAATGATTGGATTATGAGCATTGCGTAACTTGCAGGGAGAAATTTAATATGCTTTTGCCAAATTTTAACAATATCTGTCCGGGTCGATTCTCATGATCTGCTTCATGTTCTGCTTCTTTTTCTGCGCCATGACCCATTAAACGACAACCTTGACATTTTTGTCTGTGCAGGTGGAGCATGTAAAGGCTGAGAGAAATCTGCTTGCCGAGGTTGACAGCAACTGTATTGTTAAACTTTATTGTTCCTTCCAAGATGACGAGTATCTTTATCTCATTATGGAATATCTGCCTGGGGGAGACATGATGACTCTTCTTATGCGGAAGGATACGTTGACAGAGGATGAGGCTAGATTTTATGTTGGACAAGCTGTTTTGGCGATCGAATCGATACACAAGCACAATTACATACACAGGTTGGTGTAAAATGGACGAAATTGTCTTTCTCGTTGTTTGTTTGTCAAATCTGCTCCGTTCACTTTCAATCGGGAAGAAATAGTTGGCGTTTCATGGGTCTCCTAGTTTCTGGGCCTTGGAAACTAGGAGAATGGATTCAATTCCCAGAAACAGATTCTTGAGGATGCTTCACGATTTTCAGTTAACATCATGAACATCATTCACATCGACTTCAGCCGGAATAATGGAGGTCATACACAACCTGCAGAGCACTTCATGCGAGTTCGGATGAGCTTTAAGTTCTAGATAGGTTGTTGACCTCTTTCACCAGATTCGTCGTATGGGTCACTATCCACTGGGCACACCGTGTGACGAGGGAGAACTAACTTCTGTGTGTGGATTTTTCTATATTTTTGTTGAGATTAATCATTGAGTTGTATGGTTACAGGGATATCAAGCCGGATAATCTTCTCCTGGACAAAGAAGGACATATGAAACTCTCAGACTTCGGACTTTGCAAACCGCTTGACTGCAGCAATCTACCTACCTTGCACGAGAATGAAACAATCATTGAAGATGATTGCAGGGAAGGCATGGACGGTGATGGACGCACCATGCCTAAATCCCAAGGGCGAACGCAACAAGAACAGCTTCTGCATTGGCAACGCAACAGGCGCATGCTTGTAAGTACTTCCCGGCCACCTAGAAAGCGAGCACTGAGGTTCATTTCCACCTTTCTTCTGCAACCTGAAAATGGACAGGGTTTAGATGAACATGGTCGGATGTTTTTCTGGAATTTGAGGGTTTTGGAAGCTTACTTTAGTAACCCTCTACTGAAAGAATTTGCGTGTCGTTTGGGTTAGCAATCACGTACTGTGTATTTCAGAGACTAGGCTGGTGAAACGGGTCTCTTCCAACTTTGTTCCAATTAGAACTACCTACTAATCGTGAAACGATTCTCGCTGTGTAGGCATATTCCACCGTAGGCACGCCTGATTATATTGCGCCAGAAGTGCTACTCAAGAAGGGTTATGGTATGGAGTGCGACTGGTAAGCCATGCAGTTCTCAATACAGTGCAGCTTGAACGTTATTAACTTGAAGGAGCCTTGACCCGCGTTTCTAATCTTGTCTGCATTTTCTGCTTGTAATAGGTGGTCTCTCGGAGCGATAATGTACGAAATGCTTGTCGGTTACCCTCCTTTCTATTCGGATGAACCCATGTCTACTTGTCGAAAGGTGCGAGGTTACACAGGCTTTTATGTTTTGAGCTCTGTACTGAGTCAGTACGGATATTCAACCTTCTTGGCATGCCCTCCCACTATGTAGGTGTGGATATTATCAGCCGGATAATAGTTTACTTTTCGTGAAAGAAAGTAAAGACCACGATTTTTGTTTGTATTACCCTGCTACGTGCAGTGTGTGCGACTTGTAGGACGAAACCTTTGTCCACAGTTTGGTTGTCTGCCTTATCTTGGTTTACATGAGAGGGACATTTCGATCGCACACCGCGCAGCTTGTGGAGATGGAAGTTTTCACAACCCCTTCGAGCCTCACTTCAAAGAGCCACGGCAGCTTCGAGCAATATATTTTAGTGCTCTAGTTTTTAATGGGGATGAGTGGGTTAAGAAGTTTCTGTTCAACTTATCTCCTGTGTGGAGACTAATCCTGCCTAGAGAAGGAATTGTTTCAGTCACAAATTGTTTTCTATCTTGTCTCCCTTCATTATACCCCATTTTGCCTTCACTAGCATTGCCCAGTTACGTTGCGTAGTTCCTGGTTTTGAGGCTAGAGATTGAAATATTAAGGAGTGTTATTTGTTTATCTACCATGAAGTAGGGACCCAACCAAACGGTTGTGTCCTTGCAATGGGTCTAGTGCAGTGTGTGCAGGCTCCGTAAGATTTAATCGTGACTAAGGCATTGTTTCTCTGTGTGATTATCTAGATTGTAAATTGGAGAACTCATCTGAAATTTCCAGAAGAAGCGAAACTCACGTCTGACGCCAAGGATTTCATAAGCCGCTTGCTCTGTGATGTGGAACATCGGCTCGGGACAAGGGGTGTAGATGAAATCAAGGTGCAGTGTTTTTCATGCTATTGTTTTCCGTGATCTTTATGATTTTTATTTTGACTTATTTTGACATACTATTCATCTTTATCGTCCGTCCTGGTTTACAGGTTCATCCATGGTTCAGAGGTACTCCATGGGACAAGCTGTATGATATGGAAGCTGCCTTCAAGCCAGAGGTCACCAGTGAACTTGATACACAGAACTTTGAAAAGTTTGAAGAGGTAAGATCACAGGTTGAGATCCTCGCATTATTTGTAAATAATCTATAGTTAGGTATCTCGAGAAAAGCTACGACAACAGTGTAGTACGAAGAAATCTATTGCACTAAGACCACGGAAGGACCTAGTTGCTGCAAAGGAGGAGCAAGCAGCCTGCACCCGCACTTAGGTAATATATGTATTTACGTGTTGCGCAGAGTGGGCCTCAGTCAAAGTCTTCGTCGAGATCCGGTCCTTGGAGGAAGGTGCGAATCTTACCAGATTGTTTTGTTGCGTATGGGTTTCGCTCTCATTCGACTTTAGATTGCGTAGATCTGTATTATCTCCTGGGGGCTGGAAATTGACAATCACCTGCCTTTGGTACCCTTTCTGGAATTTCGTTGATATAACTCTTACTCAACCGGTACTTTGGCTGAAGTAAAACTGCTTACTCGTGTGAGGCTGCATTCTCCAGATGCTGTCATCCAAGGACGTGAACTTTGTGGGCTACACGTATAAGAACTTCGAAATTGTGCAAGATGCTCATGTTCCAGGAGTCGGTAAGCTTGTCAGAGTTATCTGGGCCTCATAGGAAAGCGACTATTGGCGGCTTACTCAACAGTTTGGAGTTCAACTGTCGTTATACAGCAGTTTGAAAGTTCCAAAGGCTCATAGAAGGACAAGATCGTGCAAGATGCTCATGTCCTAGGAGTCGTTAAGCTTGCGAGATGTTTCTTGGCCTCACAGTGAAGCGTCTATTGGCGGCTTACTTAATCGTTTGGAGTAGTTAAACTGTCGTTATACAGCAGATTGAAAATTTCAAATGCTCATAGAATGACAACTTGTGTAAGTTTCTTGTTTATTTTACTGTTAGACTGCTAATCTTCGAATTGTTGTTCTGGTACAGCGGAGTTGAGGAAGAAGGGAAAGCCGAAGAGGCCGTCCATCAAATCACTTTTCGGTAACTTTTCAAATTGGCATGCAAACAGTAGTCTCTTATTTGAGCTTTTAGGTTGTATAACCATGACTTGAACATGATGAATGATTGTTGCTTTATCGTCTGTTCTCTATATTGAACTGAACATTCTACTGTTGCTCCTATTTGCAGATCCAAGTTTAGGAGGCAATGGTAGCAGTCCAGGAAGCTTCATGATGTTACCCACCCAACCCGAGACCTCTGAAAGTCCTGAACCCTCTCCTCCTGGTAGCATGTCTTCTCCGTCTCGTTTATGTTTGTACCAACAGCCACCTGTATATCCCTATGGAGGTAGTAATGCAAGATAGCAAACTTGGTTATCTGCTTGTAAACCACTTGGCTTCAGCTGTGCGACCTTGTACTCTATTCTGAAGCTGCCGAGACCGGCTAGTCAGGTGAAGGTCTTCATCGAAGCTGGCACGAGGGCAAGTATTTCCGAAGTGTGGACGCATCTAGAACTGAAGTGCTCTACTGGGTGATGAGCTTGAAAGCAAGGAGCCCACTTCTGCCCATAAGTTGCGTCATTGATGGTAGGACAGTAGTCTTGTTCAGATGATTGTTTGGGAGGTAAAGCCACACACACACTACACACACATACATACACATCCATATGCTATTAACTCGTTCTGGGTGTTAGAATTGTTCTGTATGAGGGTATATTATTGTGGGCAAGCAGCCGCTCAAGTCTGTTGGGAGTGAATAAAGAGCATGTTGAAGTAACTGGGGATCAATTTGGTTACGTTCAAGCATCGCAGATCCCAAGAAAAGACTGAGCAACCTTCTTGTAGCTAGTTGTGCCCAGTGCCACCTTTTCACCACCATCAATAGTGAGGTCGTCTTATCTGAATGACTCCTCTGAAGAGCTGTCCTATACCTTATCCGAGCCTTCTCTATTGAATCCCATATTTGCCCTCCTGAGTAGTGGGCGAGGTTTTTTGTATAAAAGTTGATTAGCAATTCAGCCGTCCTTGAAGACAATTGTGCCGGGAATTACGTTCCAGTGCCAGCAACCACGACATGGGAAAGTAGTGTGTAGTCATTTGGTTTGTAAAGTTCACAGGTGAGTTCTCCTCTTACACCAGGAAAATAAAAATAGATCTCTGGATACGTACAAATTTGATGAACTATCCTTTGGTATGGGGTGGTATAATATAATTCTTTTTGAAACTTCGCGATTGACTTTTAAAGCTGCGGTTTTGTGCCACTATTCCGTTTTCTCAATAACAAGCACTCTTTTGTGAAACGCGCATGTCGATTTCATCGTCTTTCTTCATGTGCTTTTATAGAAGATTGCCAGGTGAGGGAATATGATGCCGTGTCAATTTCTGGAGCGTTTTAGCGTCTGTTAATTCCGGACATTGTAAGTTATTGAAGCAGGGTGGGTTATGTTAGTATTGCACTGCGTGGAAGGAACTTTGACTGACAGTTAACAGGATGCCACAAGGTTCATCCAGGCGAACCACTTGTCGGAAAGCTTTCAATAGATAGCTATCTGCTTAGTAAATACTGTTTATATACACCACATTGTTCCACAGGAGTGACGTATGACCCAACTTGTCGTATTATGGTCCCGTATCTTGTGTGTATATATGCTAACTTTTGACTGTTCAAACATGAAATTCATGATGATGATGAGATGGTATTGAAAGTGACCGTTACGAGTTTCCTTCTGTATAGTCGTCCATTTCATTTTTTATACCGGATCTACGTCTGAGATTTTTTAGCTTTTTATCAGTCATTGCTATATATTTCTGGTCTTTCTGTTTGTAGTCAGACAGCTACCCTGTGCCTAGGAAAGAATGTCCATTATTGACTTCAATCGCAACAGGACATGCCTTCCATGGGTCTATTTATCTGTACAAACCATCAGGATCACTTTTCTCCTGGTAGTGCCTCTGTGCAGTAAACACTTAGTTCTCCTTGTACTCAACGACACACAACAGACCTAATTTCTTGTTTCGAGTTATGTTTGAAGTTCCCAATCTTTACTTGGAAACGGGGCCAAAGTCGGTCCCGGCTAGAACAAGTTTGTCAATTTTAAGCGTTGTCATTTCAAAAGGTGAGCATTGAACTTATTTTGTATGTGCCCCGAGTCTGTATATCTTGGTTTAGTACTTTACGCCTTTAGCGGGATGCGTCATTCTGCAGGTGTCTTCTATAGTTGTACTGGTAATCAAACTATCGATCTGGAGCTCCTCTTGATTCCAGCTTTGTGTTGGCATTGGCCTGCCTACCCTTGACAAGAAAAAATGAATAGTGAATATTCGAGTGACCTACAACTGATATGGTGAAGGACTGTTGTAAGCAAGGGTTAGTCTGTTCCATTATTTATCTATTCTGGATGTCTGATCTTCGTGACATATGTCGCTCTTTTATGTACTTTATGGAACTGTGACCACCGAGGCCTGTGCCGTGATGCACATTTTTCATTATGTTTCCCATCGTCATGCGTAGGTGCAAGAATAATTAGATGAGGACCTCTGACCGGCTGAACAAATACTAGCACAAATTTTACTTGGGTTGCGAGTACACCCGAGTTAACAGTTTAAATGGGACTCATCTTTTCAAGAAAGGACAGTAGTGAATTTCACATCACTGGTGAGATTTTATTTGACTGGAAGATGTTATCTGTACAGAGGCATGTTGCTTGTCTTAGACTATGTGTTTTAAGCGCCTACGGTTATTTGGTGGTCATATGGATGGCAACATCTCCATGGTAGGAGATGTACGGCTGACTGCTCTCATGTATGATCTTAGAGCTTCATCATTTGCTCATATGGAACGAGTGAAGGTCTGATGCAAGTCCGAATTGTTGTTCAATCACGTCACGATACCTTTTTCTGCTTGCACATTGGCACTCTTACCAGCATTCCTACCGTAAGAGTCTACGGTACCTGCATGTAGCCATCCTTGTCCCAGCACAAAGCTTGAACCCTGCGATCTAGTGTTGACACATCCCCGCACACTTACCCAATTTTTTATTTTTTTTGGTAATAGTCAAATTTGATTTCTAATTGTATCGTTCGATTTGCATCGTGTGTGATGTAATTGTTTTCCACTCAAGTTAAAGTGATTGAGTGAAATTGGGTACGGTGGTCGTGAATTTGATCCACGCTTGAATGAAAGTCACGAATTTTGGGGACTATATTCAATCAGTCTTTCAGTCACATGCGCTTATTAAGCTTTGACAAGGTCTGAAACTGCAAAGTTGGGTCAAATCCGATTGAAACCCAATCTGACTAATTTGATCTGTGCTAATTTGAAGTCATGTTGTGGAATGGTTGTGAGAGTCATGTCCAAATCGTACCAAAAAGGGATTTTGTTGTTTGCATTAGCAATTTCATCAACTGGTGTGTTATTGTACTCCAGTAATGTTATGTCGTAATCCACAATAGCACGTTACGGATAACTTCCACAGAGGGTGAAAGACAGCGGCAATACATTGGAACTAGAACTTGTTACTTGCGGCGACAGATTGAAGTTTTACTTCGTTGTACAGTATTCCATAGGAGAGTGACAAATCATCTACACCTCCATGCACAGAGTCTTTGTCAAGCCAAGAAATGTGCACACCCTATCTACACGTGACATACCAAACAAATAAGCGATTTTCGTACAGTTGCAAATTTATTACAGGAATCGACTTGTGGCAAGCAAGGGAATTGATAATTGTCATTGTTCTCAGGAGTCTTTTGACCTACCATGTCTCTTACAGTGCTCATGAGTCAAAATGAACTCTATTTTTTGTATGAATCTCGGTTTGGATCTATCAAAATACACAATTGGATATCATAGCAAGTGATTTTTAAAAATGTTTCCATATCTATTTGTTATTAAACCAAGAAAATTTGTATTAAAATATAGTTTATTAGTTTAATTTCTCAAAGTTCAGAAATCTGTGATCATATGTCACATTATTTCCTATAACGAAATTCATTATCAAAAGTTTTTGGTTTTATTCCAATCATTTAAACTTTGCCCCTTAGAGAAATTTTTTTATATCAGATTTCTTGTGTAATTGACATGTTCTTTAAACTCAATCATTTTTTAATTTGCATGTCACTGTCAATCAACACGAGAACTTAGAGATAGAGACTATATATGGTATATATTACTCATCATACATACATCTGTTCTATGTCCATGGAAACAAAAGATTATAGTAAATGAAAATCCAAACTTGTAGCTCTCACAGCTTTTGTGACGTACTGCAAATAATGACAATGTTATATGAGTTAACAGTTATGAGTTAAATGATCTGATTTAAATCCTAATAATTTATCTTTCGATTATATTATGAGTATGATAAATTCAATAATCTTTTTGATTAGTTTGTCCAAATCTACTAATAAACTAACTTCATCTCTAACTTAACTCTAACCAAATCTTAATTAAAACGTGACGGTATAAACATATGTATAGTGTCATTAATATTCTAGAAAATTTTACTTTTGTTACTTATGTGAAAATGCAAAATAGCACAATGTAAAACTCTCAAAAGTGATAATTTTGATCTACGCAACGGCAAGATGACATTTATTGACAAATTTGATTAGGTTAAATATTTTTTTCAAATATTTTATCTATGTTAAAATTATATTTTACATTTGAATTGAATGATACTTGAAAAGTTCACAAGTATGACATGAAGATTGTTATCGTTATTTGTACATGAGAAGATAGCAAGTATGGAAAGAGATAGTTTGGCAAAGATTGGCAGTAGTCCATGTGTCATTCCAAAGGCGGCTCTTGCTAGATACTCCTGGTTTTGGTGATTTGAAAAACTCATTGGCAGGATTTGGATCCTCATCTCGCTCAAATCAAATATTTGCACATGTGTTTATCTTATCGAATATGAGGTTGTTTAGAGTGTATCCAGAACATATCTTCACAATTTGGAATAATATAGATGTCAACTTTCTTACAAAATGCAAAATGAAACACAAGAAGCTTCTTGCTCTCCATCTTCTTCGACAATCCAACTCTTTCCATCTTGACTAGAGTCTTTTACTTACTCTGTGCTTGTCCGGCGAGGTTGACGAATTCGTGATCAAATCTGCCAATGTACTCCTTCATTATTCATATATGTTCCTATTATTATTGACACTACTTCATATGGATCTCTCCAAGCTTAAATAGTGTCTAAACATATTGATCGTAGTAACATGAGAAAAACCTCTTGTTCTTCTTCATATGAATGATATTCTTACACACACTATTCAGAAATCTTGAGAATGTAAATGTGAAATCATGACTAGAATTTCATCAAACTTTTTCCAAATTTATTCTAATCAAACATTAGCTTCTCAACCAAAATGATTGATACATATATTAAAGAAAATGATTTTGGATTTCATGAAAAAGTGCCATTTCCATTGTGATGCACATTCCTCATTCTCGAGTGGAATTGAATTCATCCTTAAATTGCATCTTAGAAAGTTAATGTTTAAAATAATCAACAAAGTTTGTGGTTGATAAAAAAATGATGCAACAATAAATGATGAATTTGAACTCAATATCTTTTGTATTCAATTAAGTTATATAACTAATATTTCAATATTAATTATATTGTTGATAACTCAATCCATGGAAATCTTTTGTTGCATTATTCTGGATTATTATTGTATCATTAGACTTTTTAATGTTGTGAGGTTTCTATTTTATATGAATTTATTTTGTGAGGTTGTATTTTGAATTCATATTATTTTGTTATTTTATTTACAAATCATATTTATTCTATAGTAAGAATGATGTATGTATTTTCGTTTTTTACCAAATAATTTTTGTTCATATAGTAAGAATGATGTACACATTTTTATTTTTTTACAAATCGTTTTTTTCATTTAGTAAGAATGACATATCTTTTAATTTTTAGAAGGTCATTTTTTCATATTGCATAAATAAAATATGAATAATTGAATAACTTCAATATAATTGGATTGGATGATTTATCAGGTCAGTTTAAAAATAAATTGACCTGATAATTAAAATTATGAGATTAAAGAGTTATTAATTTTTAATTGCACAATTATCTGCATTTGCATTTTTATTCATGATGAAATCTAACACCAAAGTTAGTGAAAATTTGACATCAATATCATGTTGGTATCAAATGCTCAGAGGTATAATTTCAATTTGAAACAGAGGTAAATTTTATTTCTTGAGTATTTTGATTTTATAGTTCTGATTAAGAAAAATTGTGTAACTATGATGATGATAGCCAAGTTA